GGCAAGAATACTCCAGACAATTTCTGCACATTGTTTTTACAAGCTAGTCTGCAGGTCTACATTAAAATAAACAACCTATGGGAAAAAATATCTTAGAAGTACATTGATTTATGAAAAACTCATCCCAGATATAAGCCAGATAGAGGGGTCTCTCTAATCTAGACCTAAGACAGAGAGAAGAGGTGTGGAGCTGAGATACACTTCTTTGCAAGCACACTGCTCAGAGGAGCCAAGCGCTTTCAAAGTTTGAACTCAGCCCCAGATCAGTATGCCCTAAGTTTCTCAGTGGTACTGAGATCACAGCTCTCTCACCACGAATCCCACCCCACCTGCTGCAGTTTCCCAGACTCTTTCACAATGCCCAGGCCACATTCCCTCCCATTTTTGAACTTTGCACATCATTTACTGACTTTGTTGGGAGACCAAGTTCAAGGAAAAAAAGCAAACATCTTTAAATAGCCTCTTACTGTACATCAATTTGTTGTTTAGAGAAAAAAAAAAAAAAAAAAAAAAAAAGAGCTACCAGTCTGGACTGTGTTATTAGAGGATGGAAATCACAGCAGAAGTACAGCTCTGTGCCAGAAGTAATTCCTGTCTAAAAAATGCAAACACAACCAAAAGTAGCAATTTCTGGCAAGCAGCATGGACTTTGCAAATACTGTACGAGGCAGAGAATTTGCTCTAGGCAAATTTCTAGGCATTTACACATCCTGGGTATAGCACTTAGGAACACTTGACCACAAATGTGCCTATACTCACTGTAGCATTCAGCTTAATTCAGCTGGGTTCACACACTTGCTTTGCGAATGCCCTGTGTTTTGGTGCACAGAGCCTCGTTTTGACAGCTGCAGGTGTATCAGGTACATCAGATGCATCTTTAGAAATATAACTGCACCAACTGGAATAGCCTAATTTCAAGCTTAGTTGCATTCCTAAACTGCATATTTTGATCCAAAGTCTTACCCAATATACATTTGTACCGTTTTTCGTCAACTACCACTAAGGGCTTGCCAAGTCTATAGCAAAACCTGCTTAGTCTTAGAAGAGAAACAAGCACACATTGCAACAGACAGTGATGAGCTTAAATTGGATTTGGCGAGCTTAAATTTGAGATAATTGTATTTCCTTTTTTTTTTTTTTCATATGCAAAGTGATCAGTATGGACGTTGGCATCTGTCTTCATTTTTAATCTGTTTAAAACTTTATTGGCACGTTCATATGAGGTAAGTAAATATTTTTTTCATGAGCCTATAAAACATCATTAGTTTATTTTTTCATCCTGTCAGCTTGGATAAGTATCTCATGGTGCCTGTACATCTTCATGAGGATTTTATTATTTATTTTGATTTAGACTAAACTAAAACGAAGACCTGTCCCAAAGCCCTGGGCTTCTCTGACAGTCTTTAAAATATACAGCAATAAAAGTGAATTAGCAGGCTCTCAGTGGCTTCCAGATGGCAATGCACTGGTAACAGCAGAGAAGTCACCAGAGCATTAGCCCGCCCCATTCTGCCCCGGCACTGCAGCAGACATCGTCTGCATCTCTCCCGCCCCAGCGCCGAAGGGCTGGAGGGCAGCGGGCATGGGGTGGCACAAATGGCACCCTGCTGTCAGCACAGTACCCTGCCCACACTCAAATGCCAGAAGGGAACATTGCCTTTGCAGACTACTGCTCAACTGTGCAATTTTTGAGAAACAATAGCTCCAGGACAGTTCATTTTGCATTTTAACCGCATAGAGGTGTTAGCACAGTAAGCTGGACAATGAATTAGCAACACAGTGATTGCCTTACTCTAGCTAAACTACATTAATTCTCCCCGTGGATTATGTTGGTGTGAATTAAAACCACCAAGTACACAGCTTATCCCAGATTTGAGGAGAGAAGGGTCTGCACTAGGAGAATCAGGAAACATGAGCACAGATCTGTCGTAGGTTCATTCTCCATTCTCCAGCTGATGAAGCACGAATGCTTCTACAGAGGACAGTCCTGGCTCGGGACGCTTCATTGTAAATCTCATCTTCCATACAACTGAAATAACCTAAACCATTTCCTTTCAGCTTTGTAAACTGGGCAAAAGGGATAAATTGTTTTCTTTGAATTAATCAAATGCCAGGAGAACCAGTGATAGAGGAGAATGTTGTATGCATGAGAAAGTGACACAACTTTACCAGTGCGGACCCAATTAATGTCTCTGTCATCCAAAAAGAAATCTGCCAACAGGCACCCAGAAATTGTTTCTGCTGCTGTAACCTACATGAAAAACTCAGAATACAGTACTAGTTGCCACAGTATAAAAATAAGGCAATTTTCATTTGCAAACAGGTGAAAAATTTATTTTTGTGCTTGAAAGCAACCATAGTGTCTATGACTGAGGTGACTAGCCTCGCTAGCCACATGTAGATGGCAGTGCTATGGATTAGAGCAGCATGATGCTGAGACGCAGGTTTGATCTATTACAATTCGTAGCTAAATAAGTTTTCTAAAGTCAGGTTTCCATTCCACCCAGGTGATTTGTTCTTTTGCATCTATGGCAAACACATTATTCATCCCTTTTGGGTATAAGATTTACCTCACCTACTTAAACACTTCCCTGCCCTGCCATAGCCTTTATGTCCTTCCTCACGCAGCACACTGGAAAATGCTCCTTTACAGGAACTACTGCTCCCTCTGTGCAAAGAAAAGTCATGCAGAAGAATCCAGAAAAGAAAAAAGGGTTCTCCCTCCTCACCCTAGGAGGTCCTGAAGTGAAAGGGAAGACACTCTATTTTACCTTCTGAGAAGTCAAGCAATATGCATCAATGAGATTAACAGGTAACGTAACTCAGTATAATCTAAAAGGTTCACTCCTGCTGCCATGTTACTGAAGCAGGGAGAAGTCTGCTCTGAACGTTAAGCCTGGCTAGTTAAATAGTTTTCCATGTTTGGTTTCCTTCCCTAAAGAATCTCACTTCTCAAGAAAAAGCATCTCCGCCTCCTTTTCTGCCCACAAAAGCAACTTGCTGATGTCCCAAGTCCACTGCCCAGCCAGGCCCATTCCCCCAGCACCTGCACGCAGCACCCTCCCCTGCATTCATCCCCTCTCCCTGTGCCCCAGCTGCCTGCTGCTGATTGCAGCACATCACAGGTGTGAGTGCCCATATGGCTGCCGAGTGGGACACAAGGGGGTTGCTGCAGGGAAGGTTTCCATTTTGATGCACTGTGACCTGCAGCCCTCACCCTGGTGCTGTGTGCAGCGTGCCCCGAGGGACCGGCTCTCTGCCAACATCCATGCCCAGGATGGTGGGGGGGGGGGTCCCCACCTTGTGCAGCTGCCTCCCTGCCAGGGCTAGGGAGGCTCAGCAGCTGCAGGGGGACAGCCTCACACCAGGGCAGGGGCCTGAGGCTTCCTCCCCTGCAGTGGAGTGAGGAGACCTCTGGGCAGCCCCATGAGGTGCTGGTGCCAGATGGTGGTGAAGCAGGGAGCTATAACAAGCTCTGCGGTTTCCTTTTACCACTCTATTCACCCTGATTTCTCCACAGCATCCTGGAATCTAAGAGCATCAAACGCGTAAACCACCACTGCAGTTTGGAAAAGCATAGGTATGCAACTTAAGTAAATATAACTCAGTTGTACCAATAAAATTGAAAACAGAGAAATGACATAAAAGAATGTACATTATTTTAAATTGCAATTTTTTTATATGTTCACTTTTATTGCCTCAGCCTTTAAAATAAATCCAGGACCTGGTTTACTTTAATAAAAGTTTAATTTTGCATCTTGGTTTCAGTTCTGTACTCTTAATTTACTCTATGACCAGCCTTCCGACAGGAAAGGAGCTCGAGCAGCTGGGAAGTTTTACAGGCAGGTTCTACACAAGTCACAGTAATACTGTGGTTAAGAGCAAATTCAATTGCAGCTTCCACTATATAGGAATTTTTGTTGGTGTTGTTTTTGGTTATTGTTTTGTATTTCCATACATATTGTTTTCAAAAAGCAGCAAAGGCTGAAATGGAGCAGTCTTTCAGATCCACGTGAGCATGTGCCACCAGAATTTCACAATCACACATTTCAAAGTCAACAGAAGTAGACTACAAAAGAGGTATATTAAAAACCAAAGCAGAAATACATCACACACAAACAACATAGCACGGCAGGAGCCTCCTGCTTTCAGTAGACCAGGCAAAATTTAGATTCTTTTATTAAAAAAAAAAAAAAAAAAAAAAAAAAAAAAAAAAAAAAGAAAGAAAAAAGTAACTTCTTCCAAAAATCACCAAGCCATTTCAGAGCACAAGTAGTAATTTCTCCACAGCAGAGAAACTGCTTTCCTCAAGCTCATCACCAACCTAAAGGCAAGTGCCAGGAACACAACAGCAGCCCTCTTCCTCGCCCAGCAGCCTGTGGCTGGGCACTGCCATGCACCCTGCCTGGGCCCACAGCACCACCCCACCATCAGGCACCAGATTTGGGGCACCCTTGTGGTGCCAGGGGGACATTTTGGCAGGGACCCCCTGCCACGCTCAGTCCCCTCAGCCCTCTGCTGCATGGGAACAGGGATTTCATGCTTGTCTGGAGCCACGTGTGAAACAAGAGCCAGAGCTGGGAAACAACCACCAACGTGCAGATACACCACAGGGGAAGGCACCGGGCACCCACGCTTTCTGAATCCACATTTCCTCACACACTGCCGCTGCCCCAAGGGGACACCTGGCTCTGCCAAGCAGGGCAGGGGCTCCCCAGCCTCCACAGGCCAGTCCCTGGGGAGCACAGCTCGTGTAGGGACCCACTGTGCCTGCCCCCTGCCCCCAGCCCCCTCGCCCCAAGGCTCTCCTCAGGCCACTATGTTTGGCCATAGCAGCCATTACGCGTCTCTCCCTTCACGCCTCCCCCTCTCTGCAGCCCACACTGGGCACCCGCTCCAAGCCCTCACCTTTGTAACAGCAAACATTTAAAAAACTTTTTTTTTTTTTAAAAAAAAGACATTAAAATAACTTTTGTCAGTCACAAGCGCAGCTTTCTTACCGTGAGGGAGCCCCTGCCCGCTCTGCTGTGCCACGCTGCTCTGGAGAGTGCCTCAGGACTGCAGCCCCTCCACAGGCCTGGCACCTGGCGTGGGGCTGTGATGGAGCAATGGGTGCAGGTGTGCAGGGCCTGGCCTGCAGCCCCCTCCCGCCCTGTGAGGAGGGCAGGTGAGGCTTGCTTGGGCAAGCCTGTGAGGGAAGCACCAAAATACGACTAGACAGAGCAAAGAGGGTCCACTTGGAATAAAGCTGACAAACATTTTCAGCTGTAGGGAATGAAAGCAGCCCTCATGAGGTGTTTCACTAAGCTCTCTCTGTTAAATGTCCGCCACAGTCCAGCCTGTGTCCTATGTTTCAAAAACCCTGGGCTGTCTCTTCATGTTCTCTTCATGGGATGCCCTAGCCAGCCTCACAAGGCTACACAGTGCCATTTTGTTTCTGAGGAGTTTGTTTGCAAGGCCATAAGCAAAGCGTGTCCCTCACACTTGGGGCAGAAGTGTACCCCAGAAGATTGGTTCACCTCACACAGCACCCACACCATATACACAGCTCTCCTCACAGGGGTTGGTGGATGTAGGCAATGTTGTTTCTGGACAGTGTTTCCTGCTCTAGCTTGTTGTTAAGGAAATTTGCTTTTAATTTCAACAGTGAAAATTCAGGCTGAAGATCTTGCTGATTGCAAGTGTCTCTGCAATTGTGCTACTCATTACCAATGCATTATTCATCACAAGGTTTGCTACCCCATCACTCACAGCTGTTTCAACTTTACTTTGGGCTGCCTGGCCTACAGCTGTAGCTTATCAGCATGTGTTTTTAAAACAAACAGAACAACAACAAAAATCTAAAGCAAAGCTTTTGCTCTTCTATTTTTTGGAGGAGTAGATAAAAATCAGTCTCTGTTCTGTGACAGGTATAAGGATAGATTTGGGCATAGCAAAGGAAAAATTGTGCTTAGAGATGAGTTGGAAGGACCCAAAGCACTGTAGGAGGCTGTCCTGCTCAGCTATGCAAGCACTGAGCTGTGAACACCTGAGTGCTGACTGCTCAAGCCCAGATACGTAGCGGTGTTTTACAAGAGCTACCAGAAAGAACAGGAAATAATGTCGTGTTTTATGCATGTCCACAGAGCAGCGCACAGTTCTATGAATGAAGAGATAGTGATTTCTTCTCATCAGGCTCAAAAAACTACTAAGTTGTAACTAAGTCAGCAGATTTGTTACCATCCTAAATTTATTGTTTCTCTATAGCAACCAGGTCCCTACTGCTTGGCTGTTGCTGCCAGATGTTCATTTCAAGGCAATTTAGCCATAGACACAAGACACTGGCTTTGCAATGCCTTCATTCTGTTTTCTCCGTTAGTAATTCTCTTGCTTCCTGGTCACTATTTCATGAGTAATAAGTCCTGCAACAGACAGGCAAAGCTGTACAAAGAAGTTTTTATTAAGCGTGCTGATGGACTGTGCTGCCTGCTGAAACTTTACAGATGGAAAGCCTTTGTGCTCCAGGTTGCAATGCTAACCTTCATACCACACAAAAGCTCTTCTCGAAAACCTTTCTCCACCTCCTCTGGTGCAGCAGTCACTCATCTCCTCCACCTAAAACTGTAAACCCTGCTTCCTTAACCACATGCTGGGTAACAACATGGAAGATCTCCACACCTGTAAAGCTTGCGTAACTTTTCATCATAATGGCTAGGACTCTATTAACACACATACAGAATCAGCTTATTGCTGTCTTCTTCCAGTGTCTTTTCTCTCTCCCCACCCTCTTTTCACAGCTTGTTCTTGTCCCCTGTAGTCTGCGTTAATGCTATGCTAAAGGGATCTGCCCTCTGAAAGAGAAGACTTTCAACTAAGATCCTTCCAAAGCACTTCTGCACATTTAAACCAAGCTCTAATACAGCTTCAAGGAAACCAGTTAGCTTCCGCATTAGTCCTATGCAGAACTAAAATTGAGGACTTCGTCATAGTATAGTTACAAGCATAAACAAAGACAGGCAAAATGACTATTTATTGAAAATATCCTGGAACAAAAAAGCTAACTGGAAGAACAGTGCTGTTCTGTACCTCCTGAAACAGCAGTAAAGAACAGATTGCACTGTGGCTGACTCACTCATTAAAGTATTTTAAGGGTTCAAGAAGAACCGCATAGCAGAGCACACTGACCTTCTGAAGGGATGTATAACAACTAACATTCATTTTTCTACCAGACAGATTTTCTTGTATTACCAAAGGCTGAGCTAACATTTCAGCTTTTATCTTGCCAGCACAAAATAAAAGTTGCTGTTTTTCACAAAAGCATCTAGGAACTTAATACATTGAGACTTCTACCCTATTCAAGTTTTGCTGAAGCCTTTCCTTTCACAAGGCTCAAAATCTTTGGTTGGGAACGAAAGTAGACAAAAGAGGAGTAAACTAAGCAGTAAAAAGATTGTATTTACTTTACTTTCTTAGGAAACTTGGCTAAACACAGATTTCTGTCATAAGCAAGTAAAGGAAAAAAAAGCTTTGAATATATTTAGGACTATGCTCTAGGTCTGTAACATGGTCAGTATCACACACAATTCTTGTCAACAAATGTCATTCTAAACCTGAGGTTTTCATGCAGCATTCAGCTCACCCATGTCTTCCTTACATTTGCTTCCTAACATTAGCCAGATTTACTCCCCTTAATGACTGGCTTTTATTGCCTCATCTCCACATGTATTTACCCAGCTGCTATGTATTTGCTAGGTGAGCATGTGTATCACTTCATGTTTCAGAAGGGCTTTTAACCCTTGCCTCTGGGCAGCCAGGATTTCCTGTTCAGCAGCAGTAATAGAGTGAAACAGGAAATACTCATGGCTGCTGCCACTGGGTGGAAGGAAAAAAGGTCAACTGCTGTATTTGTACCTTCTCATTACTCCCATATCCTCAGACCTGTGGCTATTCAGGATTGCTGTTCAACCATTTATCAATGCCACAATCAATAATCAATTTATGACTAATTAAATTAGTCCAATTGTCCTGCCTGTGCACAGATCTATCCAAGTCAACTTTTCATCTTTTCAATATTTGCAGAACTTCACTTGAGTACGTTACATCAATGCCATTCATTGTCTTTAAACTGCTTTGAACATTTACTTTACTGAACAAGCACTGAGTGGTACGATAGCAACACCCAATGCCCACACACTCAGTGTCTGTGTTATCCATGGGAATAGAGCCAAGCCCTTACAGTAGCCTGAAATAGGAATACTTTTATCAAGACCTTGTCTTGAGTCTGTGTCCATTTTGTATTTTCCTCTGTAGTAGTAAGCCAAGTGATATTGAAATGAAGTGCAAAATTTGGAAAGTCATTTGTCATTCTTCATCATTAGAAAAATAAGGTATTTTAAATGATTTTTTAAAGGAATTTTAAACTTTTTTTTTTCTAATTTGAAGTCCTAGAAGCAGCAGCAGCTTATATCTCACATGATAAGGTACATCATGGGGTTTTGTCCATAATCTTCTTGCATACATGTAACTTCATTGCTGTGACCAGCACTTCCATTTTTATCCTTTAGAAGGCTACCAAGAGATATTTTACAGTACTACAATAAATACATTCATTTAAAAGCTGTTAAATCCCAACACTTTCACCATTAAAATAGAAATAGACGGGATGCTCCTCAAATAGGAATATCATACTGGAGTTTCTGAACCGTCAATTGAAATAAATTTTGCTTTATTCTGAATCAAAATTAAACATTTATAAAGCTTCCCATAAAAAAAGTTCAATACTTTTTTTTTTTCACACACACCTCCAAACAACTCCATAAGTGAGACATTTCTCAGCATTTCAGTAAAGGTACCTCTTATTGCAACTTGCACTAGTAAATACAATACTTTAAATCTTACTTGCAGGATTCATATATTTTTGAAACCAAGTTGTTAATTTCAAACTGACAGCACTGATATTTTTCAGAAACAGTATTGCAAATATTTTTAAATTATCTCTGACCACCATGTCAGACCTTAAAGCTGAATGTGAACAGAGCAAACATTTGACAATTCTGCTCTGCATGAAGAGCCTAAAAGTAATTGATGGCTTTCCCTAAAGGTAACGTGAACTGAGAATCAGTAGTGGGACTACAAAACCCCATAAACAGCAAGCCTTTAATATCTACACAGCTGCCAGTTCAGGTCCAACTTTTATAAAACTTAAATGAAGAGAACACCAATGGGATCTGAATGTCATCCTGAGACAAGTATATCAGCATCTAAGATCTCCTTCGTATTAAGTCTGTCTAGACCAAAATATCAAATGCTGCATTTTATGCTGCTAATAAGAGGAAAACATGTCATGAAAGCATTTAATTTTTATTTTTTTTTTCCTTCCTGTGAGCAAGGACACTGGAAATTTCAGATAATATTGAGAAATTTTTATAGTTCTACAAACGTCTGTCATTAAGACTCCTGTCCCCTGCATACTATGTCTTACAGATTTTGAATAATGTGCATTGAATAAACTGCATTAACACAAAACAACTCAACTGATCTTTCAAGCAAGATGTAACTCCACCCATTTTAGCTCAAAGGGCATAAAAACTTTATAGCAACAATGCAGATAACTGAGAAATCTCTCTTCTGCATTTGTAGACACAGCACTTTCAAACAGATTCCAGGACCTTTACCAAGTAGTTTTTAAATCATTTGTGCACACAACAGAAGGAAACCTAATAACCTTTCAATAGTTTAACACAACAGGTAGGGTAAGATGAGGTATGCTCCCGTATTGTATTGACAGAGCATTGGAAGGTGGCTTTGTTGCTCAAACAAGAAAAAACAAGGAAGAGAAATTTCTGAACTGAGTAGGCTAAAGTGTTCAAGTGTTGTTTTACCCTTTCTTCACTGAAATCTTCTCACATGCCTATTTTGGAACAAAAAAGTAGTGCTTCTATTAGCATATATTTAAAAATTCATCCTCCTTTCTCTCAAAAGGTGCCCAAACCTTCCTAATATTATTCCTTAGGAAATAGTTTACCACCAAATTAAAACAAACCAAACATGACAAGCTCAGTGAATATACTTGTTCAGCTTCAGCACAGAAACACATACTGGTTTAGGCCCATTTTCCTTTTATTAATAATATAAGGTTCTATAATCTCTTAACATTACAACTGAAAGTTTTACAGTTAATCTCACACTAAAGTGACAAACACTGTTTGGCTTTATTTGCAGAAAGTTGAATTACAACCTTGATAAACATACATTTCCAAGATTGAGAAATGACTTGTGTTTTCTGGATTTCAGTGCTCATGTATCCCTGCCTTTGAAGCTGGTTTCAGTTAATTAAAATTGATATGGAAGAACTATTTGGCCTGGCCTCTGTTCACAGCTGTAAGGCAAAGATGACATCTCTAATGCAACCACTATACTTTAAGTCAAGTCAAGAAGAGACAAGTTTTTCTTAGACTAAGATGTAGACCCTGTGGCAATTTTTAATGGATTTTCTTCTACGATACCCCCCTCAAAACTTTTAGAAAGCTCTCTCCAGTAAAAATACATTTCGTGGTCACACTATACTCACTCTGCACTTTCTTCCTTCCAAGGGAACAGACGCTGTGTAATAGAAAGTCATGATAATCTTAATTAAAACTGCTTGTAACTTACATATAGCCAAAATAGTCAACCAATCGAAGAAGTGTTATGCCAAGATACCCTTCTGATCTGCACAGATCAAGCTCCATCTCTGAACAGGCTGTAGCTAAGGGAAACTAAGTCTTTATAAACAAAGAGAGGATTAAGAAAGAAATAGTGGAAGACTACTAGTACTAGAAGAGGGAAGATTTCTTTTAAACGGGCTCTCGAACTTGCATTACACTTCCTTGTTTTCATTAGAAATTTAAATGTGAAAGAATTGAAGACCATCAGTAATACATGCATTTCAATCATGATTTCACTAAACTCAGACTAGTTTCTAAGATAGAAAAAAATATTTAGGAAGACAACTATCAGGTGGCCATTAGAAAAAAAAAAAAAGTGTCTGTTACACTCATAGTTAATCTTTCCTCAGAGCTATGCAGTGACATAGCTTTGGGACCCTTATAACCTGTTATTTCACCTTCCCGTAGGACAATTGATGTGCAGTAAAAATCTTTACTGCATTTTAAATCACTTCAGCAGCCAGTGGCTATTTAAGGATTGGAAATAGAAAGCATAAAGAGGTTTTGCCTGTGTAACTTCAATAAAACAAGGGATGGGGAAGCCATAGTCAAAGTTAAGAGTCAGGGAGGAAGCTGTAGAGCTGTGTAGTACTTCAAGTCAAAATCTAAAGACAGGTATTACTGCGCTATATGGACTTGTTCTAATTATATTTGTGCTGTCATTCTGCAAAAAGGCTTCACACACTTTCCTTCAAAATTGATTCTTCATAGTTAAACAAACACTTTCATTGAGGCACATAATAAAACACCCTTCATATTTACCAGCTCCTTGAAAGGTTTCTATTTGAGAGTGATACTAGTCATCTGCAAGAGTCCAGCTGTGGCCAAGTAGCCACCACTGTGCAGCACGTGAGATGAGGAATTCCCCTGCATAAACATGTACAGATTCACTTCGCTGAGACACTTTGAGTATGAAACAATTAAGGAACACTTAACCACAGTGCGAAAAGTCAGTTTTCTAAAACAGACTACACCCATTGTTTTGGTTGCTGCTGAAATATGAACTCTATGGGCCAAGAACAAAAATACAAAAGACTAGATCATGTTGAAATGTTGTGAAACAGCATTAGAAATAAAGCTAGCCGCATTACTAACATCACACTAACATCTCATTTTATGACCTGCAGATTATAAAAAGAAAGTTTCCTTTAGTATGTTGACAGCATACATTTTGAAGTGATGTTTTGCATATTCATCAGCTTTTGATCATTTTAACTACAGAATTGAAATTGATCTTCAAACAAGTCCAAAGTTTTTTCTGATATGCAGTACTTTGAGCATTTTATACTCTTTTTGGTGTACTACCAAGTTTGAGAGCTAATTAGACAGTATCTTGAAGTAGTTTAAAAATAAATGTGCAATTTCATCTTTTTCTTCTTGTTAAGGGCAGTACTAAAAAAAAAGTGTCCAAACTGACACTACAGAGCTGTGAAGCAGTTGGCTAGAGAGACCTAGTGTCCTCAAAGGATAGTCCTTATTTTTTTCTATCCTATGCAGTCATATGCATTAATTATCAAAAAGTTTGATAACTTGCTTTAAGAAAAGAACCCACCTTAAAAATGGATCATGAGTATTGACAAATACTTTGTTTGTTTTACTGATTAAGACTCAAGTTTCAATGTAAAAATGCTTACATACCGTACTGAGCAAGAAAATATCTCATTTTCGTAGTTAAATGGACAATTATAGTTGTTGCTACTAGTGAAGTAGATATATGATTCATCAAGGCCATAGGAAATTGTACAAAACTAAAAAGGGAAACCTCACTTTTAGGATGACAGTATGTTGTCCACTTTAGTTTTATTAAACGGTTGAGACTGTTTCAAAAGACAGTGCTGGGCAGTTTCACTTGAATAGCCAAAATTATTATTATAATTTTTTTTACTGAAAAAGATATTTTGCATCTCTGCAAAACAAACAAAAACAGAAGCAAACCCATACACACTAGGACTGTAGTACAGATGAAAGCAAAGTTTTGTTACAAACCTGTTTTCAACATACAGTGAGAAATGTCCTTTGTACAAAACTTACAGTGACTACCCTACGATTAATTTAAGATTATCCCAGCAATGCAAATACAACTCAGAACAGCTCAATTGTTTATGATTTTCCCATAATATTAAGGTGGGAAACTACTGAGTTTTCAGAAGTGTTTTGACTTGCATTGTTTTTTTTTTGATCAAAATCTACATTTGTGCTTTAAGTTTTTGCTGGTTACAGGTCTGTTACATACCTAATCCTTCAGCACAGAGAAGTACTCCTTGGTGTAATCTCATCTGTCTCCTAGCAGCTTTCCTGTAGCAAGAGGCTGGGCTGAGCAGCTGCTTCTGTAGAAAACACTGTTGTCAGTCTTTGTTCTTGCAGGGGATGCTTTAGTAAGAAACAGCTGGCTGTATCCAGCATTGAAAATACCATCAGCTGTGTTGCCTAAACCAAACTTGGAAAACCAAATTTGCATTTCCTGGTTGGTAACATAATTTGTGCCCACCGGGTTGTTTAAGACCATTGTAAGTAAAAATCCATAAACATTAACAGTGATGTTTACACTTTATTGGGGGGAGGGGGTGGCAAAATCAGTGTAAGATACTAGTTTTAAAGTTTAGGCTATGTTATATTTGATTACTGGGATATCAGTACAATGAAAGTTGCGGAATTTCAACAGTAATTTTGAAGAAGTTTTAGTACATCATATTGTGCAGGGTTTTATAAAAGATTCTTGTTTCCAAAGATGTTATTGGGGTCCACATATTCTTTAACAGATCTCAGCATTCCCAGGCCAACATCAGAGATGCTCTCCTTCATCCAGCGCTTCCGCAATTTGCCTACTGGAAAAACAAAAACAAAGCGTTTCAATATATGGCAGGATTCTAGGAGCCAATCAATCTTGTGACCATGAATGAATAAACACTGTGTGATAAATGCTTTTATTCAAAAATGAGAAATGTTTTGCTTTATTTGATTTATTGAGCCCACCAGACTATCAAGCTCATTAAGCTCAGCATACTCCCAGAGGAAGACTGTGTTCCACACTGTCTACTTTCTTTAGAAACTATGAAATTTAGATGAAGCTTAGGCTGAAATTACATGTTCTATTAAAATAGCAACTTGGCAGTAAGTCTTGAAAAGCTACCAAACTAATCTTTTGAAGTAGAAAAACCAAAGATGAGATTGCTAAAAAGAAGAACCCCCATGCCTCTCAACTGCTTTATAAAGAAAGAATGTTCTCAAAAATCAGGAACAACCTTAAAACAGCATTGGTTTAAATAATCAAAATTTATTTTCTGAAGAGAAGGCCTAAAGTCTAGTTTTCAGACAACAGAATATCTTATTTTATTCCAAAACTTCTACACGGGCTGGCACTCACACATGCTATCACACAAAAGCTTACTTTCCATGTTAAAAATGTATATTCACAACACACAGCAATTATAAAGCAAAGCTGAAGCACTAGCCATTTAAGAACTCATTTCACTAAATTCCCACAATAGTTCTGTTAAATGGCCAAGTGTTCATATACTAATTAACCAAGTCATCAACTCTGATTTAACAGATCATGCAAAATAAAGGCCATTCTTTCATTAAACACAGTATAGCATTTAGCTTGTCAGCCTAAACCACAATCCATTTGTCAGTATGATGTGATATAGTAAAGGTTTGAGAGGCAGATGCTTTAAGAATATCTGAAGCTAAATTCAAGCCATCTTTTGTGCCCTGTTCTCAGGGTAACCATCAAACTGTCATCAGAATAATAAATTACAGGGACACCTCTGGAGAGCAGAGTATATTTGTTTATACCTTAAGGGATGAGCTAGTTACAATGCCAACTGAAAAAGCAAATAACGTGAGAAAGAATGAAATTTGCAGTTTAGTAAGAAAACAACTATTACCAGCATACATGTCAAGAGCAAAGATCATAACTGAAGGACAAAAGCATTTTTCATGCAATAGGAACTGTGGCTGTATTTTGAAGCTTGGCTCAGAAAATATCCCCATCTGTAGAAAAAACATCTCTACAATTAGACTGACCAAGTTGATGCAGTTGCATTTTATCTGGGAATACTCTGATTCTAATACTACCAACACACACAAAAAAAAACACCACACCCATACATATACAAACAACCAGAGATAGATGGATGGGGTCTGACCATCACCTCAAGTCACTTACACTGGCTCGTACACAGGCAGCTGAAGAACAGTCATTACCATTCTCAACTGTTATCTGTAATATAGTTTCAGTGAATGTGTCCTGTGGTTATGGATGTAATTGTCCTGAAAAGACTGCAAACAACTGCTCCAACAAGATGGAGCACATTAGAATCACAGCAGGATGCCCAACAGCTAGCATGCCTGCCTCTTTTACACCTCCAGTAATAATGCAATTCCACAAGGAACTGAACTACTGTCTGAGCAGCACCAAACAGTCGTTGCATATTTAATGAAGTCGCTCACCAAGTGCTGGAAAACAGAAGGTGCTTGGAGTGCATCATTAGTTCTGTCAAAGTGATAATTTACACATCTATCTTGTCAAATTTTCTATGGTTTATACTTTTGCAATAATAAATCTAACATACATTTGATTAGTGAACTGGAAAGAAAAAAAAAAGCTGTACTACAGTTACCAGTGGTCCTTCACAAACATGTTCAATGAGAAGAAGATTTTAACCCCTTGATAACAGCAGGTTGAGCCCCTGCTCCTAATATTCTTGCCACTAAGACATACGTAGATTTTTCAGCTACTCCAAGTTCTTGTACCAGAATTAAAAAATAAGCTGAAGCAATTTTGCTTTTCAAATTTTATGTAATTGGATGGACCTGCTTAGAAAACAGACTGAATGAAAGAAAAGATTTGTGCAGATGACAGTAATACAAAGAAAAACAACATAGCTTGTTTCACTTCAGGTTCGTTCTGCCTTTTGAATATTCTTTTCCTCCTCCATTGAAGGATAGATACAGTTAAGTTCAAGGATGATAAAGGAAAAGAAAACACCCCAACAGTAAAAGATATCACCATGAATGTAAAGTAATTCTAAGAAGCAAAATCACTTAACTCCACTCTGAGCCTTGCCAGAGAATGGCTTTGGGCTCAAGGAAGACACAACCTCTCCAATAATAAAAGGTCTCAGTTAAGCCTGATTTTTCCATGAACTAGATAAAACCTTTCAGTTTCTACCTACAGAGAGCAGACCATTTAGTTTTAAGGCCTGGACGATGCCATTTATCTAGAACTGACAGGAGACAAAATTCACATGATTTTATATGCTACATCACAACGGAATTAATAAGGTTCTCAAATCAGCATAACATTGTGCAGGCACTGTAAACTGAGCATACAAGTTACTCAGCTATATACACCATTATACACACAATATTTGTCAAAGCAACTGGCAACATATAGTCTTACATACTTCCATCTTTTTCTTCTGAAGACACCTAATTTGGCATCTTAATTATCCAAAATGAATTATGACAAAGTTAGTTTTCAAGTTTTAAACCTATCAAGTACTCTATTCCTGAGGTGTGCTACACAGACAGCCACCCCATAAAACATTCATTGCTAGGAAGCCAGAAAGTGTGTTAAGCAGGCAACAGGACTGAGACAAGCCAAATTCAATGTAAAGCCTAGCTTATATTACATAGAGTGCAAACACCCTAGCATGACAAAGAATCCACTTCAAACAAATCAAGTACCTCGGACCAGAAAGTCAACAAGTTTGTTCAGTAGAAGCTTGAAAAAGACAGTCCACGACCTATTTTTGCAGTTGATTTTCAGGTTTTATTATCGTTATGGTCCACGTATGAAACAAACATGTAATCTGAAAAAAAATAATTATTGTCCAGCCCATAGCTGGTTTTATTATAGAAGTTGTTCGTGCTTTTAGGAAATAAAATGCCCCTTGGTGAAGCGAAGCCACATACTGCTCCCGTAGAAGCACTAACATTACATTCTCTGCCAAAAATGAGTTTCCTATGTGCGTGAGTTTTTAAAGAGAAGTGCATTAGATGGACAGCACATACCTGCTGGCCACAAAGGAAGCTAAAATGGGAGAAAAGCTCTACTGGCTCATAAAGGCTATGCTTGCTTGTCTTTGAAGATGCATCTGGATGGCTGCAAAAAATCTGGCTATGAGTGGAGCTAGCAAACAGCAGGCAGCAATCAGTTTTCTCACTTTAGGAAAATCAAGTACATGAACACACAAATGGTCTTCTAAGGGAAGTTTTAGTGTAGCTGATGGATCCCAGGAATAACTCTACCCCTCGTGCAGATGAAATTTATAGCAGTGTGTGGTCCCAGAGGAAATAGGCTCTAGGGCCATGTGCAGTGCCACTAGGCTTCCTCTGCTCCAGTCCTTCCAACTTAAAGAGGCTGTTAGTGGAGAACAATAGCTCCGCAGAAGGAGAAACAGTAACATAGGTCATAAGAAGGACGAGGCTCTTCCAGCTGTTGAATACTCTTCCTGAAGCTGGTTGTCTCTATGGGAAGCATCTTTCCTCTCCTAGAAGTTGCTTAACAGGTTATTACTCTTCCAGAGAGAGCTCTGGAAGAGAGCTGAGAAAGGTCAGTGCATTAATCTAATACTTCAGTAGAAATGGAGTACATTGCACCAGCATACTTGGAGTATGCTACATAATTAACACTTCCCATCACTGTCCAACATCTGGCACACTTTCACATGATGCCTGAACAACTCAAGTTTTTTCAAGTTCTGTGCTGAAGAATCAGAAAGCCTTTGTGTTTATTTGGTGAAAAAGGAGCACTGAAAATAACAATACCATTTAGACTTTCTACAGAATACGGAAGAAAATACAACTGATTATACTATTTCATGATAGCGTTACTTCCGGTCTGACAACTGTCAAAATTTAAGCTTCTCACTCTAATTAACAAGTAAGCTCTTAATTTATAAAATGACGTTATGGTCAGTCTCCAGAGCTTAACTTAAAGCTAAGAGGATATTTTTCATGTGTAAAGAAAAGAAGGCTGTGTCCAATTCCACCCTCCTGCCCCCCAAGGAAATTTCATAATTGCAGATTTTTTAGTTTGTGTGGATTACTGTGCTATACGGCTTCAGCCATGGCCTCTTAATGATACCAAAGAATTGCAATGTCAAACATGCAACTGAAGGCACATCAGTTTTACCACTTTTTTTTCCGCCTAAATTTTTCTACATAAACTGCCAGGAAATTGATAGTATACCTAAACCTGTGGAGCCTGAGCTATATTAACCTCTATTCTAGTCAATCTGTCTAGAAAGTGGAAGAAAATTAGTTCTATTATGTTAAGTATCTAAATGGAGTCATTTTGCTCAAACCCACAAACTGATAATTGTTTCCTTAAGTAACCAGTTGTTAGTTAGAACATTCCCCTCAATGGAAACAATCTATTTTTATTTTTACAGAAGTGCTTAGATTGGTAATACAGAAGGAATCAAGCCCAAATCCAGACAGCTCCCTTCAGATGGCATACTCCAAAGCAAATACTATATATATATATAAATATTATCTATATAGTATTTATAAACCAGTCCTACCTAGTTATTATTTCCTCAACATGTTATTTTATATGTACAAAAAAACATACATTTTATTAAAACAGGGATTCAAGAATGCAAGGAGTGACATCGTATGGGCAGTCTTAGGACTTGCCATTAGAAAAATTGTTTACCTAAACTTAAACTTGTATCTACATTAGGTTGTCATTTCTAATGCTGCATTGAAAATGCTGAGTTTTAGGTGCTAACTGACTCTAGCAACCTGTACATACAGGACTTTCAAGTCTAAGGACACTCATTGGCTAGAAAAATGAAAGGATTAAAGCTGTGTTCAACGATGTACATAATCACTTCCTAAAATGCATGGCATAGTAAAGGCAAGGTGAAAACCACAGTCAAGACTGTAAAAACTTATGTGGGAAAAGAAAATAAGAAATGCTACAACTTGTACATCTAATACCTTTCAAAAACGTTTTAGTTAATGGCATATTATGCCATAGCATTGGCTAAAAGAGACAAAGAAAGCATAAGAAACCACTTCAAAGTCACATTAAAAACTCCTTTAAAACCTGTAAAAAAATTTCAGCAGTTTGTTCACAAAAAACTAGCAAGAAACAGACCTACAACATTTAGACAAGATTGCTGGGATCGTGAAAAATCTGATATCCTGCTCTACAAGGGATCAATTCCTGATGCACTGGAGTATGGCTAAGTTCCCCCAGCATAAGAAATGCTTGCTTGGTCAGCTACTTATTTTGGGTGCATTTTTATAGCAACGCATGCGCCATAGATTGTTCATAAATGCAAGTTCTGTACATTACATAATCCAGAAACACTAAGTGGAAAAAAACAATTCTGACATTTAGTGATTAGATGTAAATATTTGAAAGTCAAGAGTGAGGAAGTTAATCAAGTCATTGTTTCTTTTTTGAAAAGAAAAAGGTCATTTTTAAATTGCAGCATAATAGAAATAATATTCAGATATTATCCAGAAGTCTGGATTCTCCACCCCAAAATACAAGTTATTGTTATATTGAAAGGGCAAGTTCATTACACTAATGTGTATGTCTGGCTTCACTAGAGTGACTTGTGTCCATAAGATGCTTGCTTTAAGAGGCTAGTATGGATACACTTCTGCGATTTCTTTACAGGAATGTTCTCCCACTTACATATTGCGAAGTGTGATCTGAAGTGTAATCCATTAACAAATTGCAGTTATGCTTCTTTTAAGTTTTAAACCTCAAAAGGTGTCATGGAGGGGATCAGGAAATACTCTCACAGTATTGCTAACTGAGTCCTGCCTAGAAGTTAGGATATTTTTCATTAGCTTGGGGGAGGAGGGGAAGAGAAGAGCTATTGGGATTAATTTTCTGAAGTTAATCCTTATAAAATTAAGAGCATCCCTATTTTAGTTTTCATTACACAACAGCTACCATGGGTATCCTGCAGTTAGTACTTTTCCAGATGTAAAGTAATTTAGAGCTTTACACATCTCAAGCTGTCATATATGACCACTTCTTCACTCAGAGTGGATGAAGATTGACTTAAGCAGGCTTTGTATTTCCTATAGCCTCAAGTCCCAGACTACATCTGTTTTCTTTGATACACAAAACCAGAGTTAAAATAGCTCCATTTATCACAGCATGATTGTAGGCAGACAAACCAGCCTGTCTGTTTCCAGATAGTGAAAACAACTGTTATTAATCACAATTACAAGACAAATACTAAAAGAAATTGCACCACTATTTTCTTTTACCCCACACAATAGACTGGCCTTAGCAGTGCTAGGAATGACAAGGCCTGAAGGTCAGTAAATAAAATTGATACTATTAGGCTAATTTTCAGCAGCACATCTATTAAGAACAGGGTAAAAAATGGATCTTGTGTATCATACACAATCTCGCACTGCCAGACAAAAGACACTTAAAGCAGAAAATATTTATCAAGAATTAGGCAGTCATGTATCCAACACAAGTATGAGAAGTCTGATAGAAACCAAATTTTCTGAATCTGTGGAGCCAAAAAGTAAGTATGTAAGTGTGTGAAAATGCTACAGAAGTATTTTTTTTGTTGTTGCTCGACATGCTGTAAACAAGATTTCATATGGTGAGGGCAAATACATCCAATCGTGACAAGCTACAGCTGCTTCTGAGTTAATGGATGAAATGCTAGTCACAGTAAATCATGGCTGCCACAGCAGGAGAGAGCACACTAGTAGATCATGAGGGCAATTCCACACCCATGTGTGAGAACTGACCAGACCACCAGAATAACATTTAAAAAAAAAAAAAAAAATCAGTGGACAATAAAAGCATATTAGAAAAAATATTGAAACCATTTCCACTCATGTTACCACTTATCTGCATGTTTTCCAATATCCTGATATTGCTGAAGCAGAGACAATTGCAATTTGTATCACAAAGATGTATGCCTGAACACAGACCTAGATTTAAGTTTCAAGCCCAGGAAATCAGCAACATGTTTTAAAACATTGCTTCTACAAAATTTTGATTTAAATTTTACACCATTAGAATTCTTCCCTCTGCTCTTATTTCTGTGGCCAGGCAATGCCGAGATAGTTGAGAGAAAATAAATGTATTTTAAGCTGAATAATTTGAAGAAGTTAGCTACACAAATCAAACCAAATTTCATAGAATCGTAGAATATCCTGAGTTGGAAGGGACCCTTAAGGATCATCAAGTCCAACTCTTGACACTGCACAGGTCTACCCAAAAGTTCAGACCATGTGACTAAGTGCACAGTCCAATCTCTTCTTAAATTCAGTCAGGCTCGGTGCAGTGACCACTTCCCTGGGGAGCCTGTTCCAGTGTGCAACCACTCTCTCTGTGAAGAACCCCCTCCTGATGTCAAGCCTAAACTTCCCCTGCCTCAGCTTAACCCCGTTCCCGCGGGTCCTGTCGCTGGTGTTAATGGAGAAAAGGTCTCCTGCCTCTCGACACCCCCTTATGAGGAAGTTGTAGACTGAATTTAAAACAAATCTTCCTGACACTTGAGTTTATATCATTATATAGGGCACATGCAATCAAAATGATTAGGCTACCTGAATATGTGGAAGAAACCTATTTAAATTATCAGGGTAACACTTATATGTGGCATTGGTTCTTAACATTATTATTGGTTCTTAACGTTTAACTATTTAAAGTGCAAAAATAGTTCGCAAAGAGACTAACTTATGACAAATTGTTTCCAAACCACAAGAGAAGAAACTAAATAATCAGAAGTTAGCAGACAGGAAGACAGTACTGTCAATACTTGCATAACATCGATTATGCAACAGATAGTAACCTACAACATAGTCCAGTTAAAGTCTCTAACTCTTTTAGGCAGATACTTTCACTAAATGCTCTGGAAATAGGGCTACCAGTGTTCATCTAGCCACAGGGGACATTAATTTGCTTCTCTTAGAATTATGAAACTGGTATTCTAGTCTACACAAGTGAATGTGCCTTTGTTTGCACAAGGTTCAGTAGAAGCTTATGACTACCGTTTTAGGTTCTCAGACAGCCTGTAGACTTCATATCAAAGGTTGGCATTCATATATATACACCATATTGTGTGACTGGACATCAAGCAAACTGGGTCTAGTGACATTTCCCCTAAAAGTCTGTTAAAGGAATAGGAAGTTCCTTGAAAGACTTACAAAATATTTTTCCAGTAATTTCAATTCATATCTGTGACATATTTTTCAAAATTCTATTGAAAAGTATTTGATGTACTCGTGAATATTTACCAGTATAAAAAAAATTAACATTAGACTGAAAACAAGAACAATACCTCCATGGTGATGTGACAAACTTCCTCCATTGGCAAGTATTTCTTCTCTAGCAGCCCTCTAGATGTGAAAGACAAGGTATTCAACATTAAACACACAAGACATTTGGTTTTAGTGAAATGCTTGCTACGGTACTCATTTGAACAGGTATATGAAAAAAATCAGAAACAATTAGGGTACACACTAAAGGTGAACACTTTAGTTTAAGTCTGCATATATTAATATAAGTAGGGATTTTCAAAACAAATATTACTAAAACCAAGACATTTCAAAGCACATCTGTTAGAATAAAGCTATTTTTCCAGAATGGAATCACTTTCCCCTTGCCAAAATGAAAATAATCTAGTGGGCTGGGGAGCTCATCCAGAAGACAGGTATGTGCCTACTGAAAAGAAACCTAAAAAAGAGAAAAGTTTGAAAACAAAAATCCCCAGAGTGACTGAAGTTCTTTATTCAGGCTAGAGTTTAGACCAAGATTTTCAAGATTTTGAGTTCACAACTGACTACTCTTCTGCGTGTAAAGCTTTTGGCAGAAAGCAAAATTTAAATTTTTATGTTGATGAAGAAATATTCAAACACTTTCAAGCTAAAACACTCATCTTGCAGTCTTTCTACTACTTGGTGCACTGTTGAGGTGTACCTCTTTTCCTAACTAATGATCAAAGCTTTATTAACAGACTTTTGTGATCTTTCCCGCAAAATTCAGTTAACTTGGCCAAAGGGTCTGGCATATGCTAGAGAAGATAAGCTTCAACCCTCCCCCTTGACTGTTGTTCTTGTATACATTACCTCAATTTCTTCATAGACATGAATAGGATCACTAATTCCTCTGTAGTTAAAGGCAAAGTAGAAGTAGACACATGCACCCGCATCATAAGTCTGTGTGACCCTGTTGAAGAGAACTGTATTACAAACAGAACTTTATGGTATTAATCCAACCACTATGTCATTCTACACAATCCATATTGTTACTCATTTTATTTTAAAAGGTAGCTTTTTTTGTTTGTTTGTTTTAAGAGTTTTGTTTCCTTTTTGCTCCTACCTCACAGAAGCAAATCTGAATCAAGGCTATCACTTTCAAAGAGCTGAAGCTCTTAAATTAATCCTGGTTTGCTTGTAGGCACCAGAGAGTAAAGTGTGTCAAGACTAATAAAGTGCCACTATTCCCTTGAAATAAGTACTCTTATATGTAACCTACTTGCAGGTTAAAGAGAAAGGTCAGGATCAGTAGTGTTTCTACTATCACTAATAGATGCACTTTAAAATATCTACTAAGTAGCAAGTTTAACAACTTCTTCTGTAGTTCTGTTACTAATAAAAGATCCAGAAAAAGTGAATATTTAGGTTGTTGAATAGCTTACCTGCAGGTGGAAAAGGGAGCAAACTGAACACCCTTCTCTTTGCATTCTCTTACTATCCTTTCCTTTACATTCCTACAGAGGTCTAAAACTCTGCAAAAGAAAACACATTAAAATATAAAATCTTAGTACATGATTTTATACCACTTTCTAAAGAAAAATGTAACTTCAACATTGGTAAACCTTATACCTTTAAAAAAATCTAACAAAAAGAAAACTGCCACATTCTAAACTAGTTTTAACCACTTCATATTTTATTCTAAGAATAAAACAGTCCTCCATCAAGACTTCACCAGCATACCCCTCCTGAACAGCAAATCTGCTCTGAAGTACAGCAAGGAATGAAGGCTCTTTTCCATAAGGAATAGAAGGCAAAAAGAATTCAGCAGGAAATACAGTTTGCCCATTTCTGTCTTTATTTTCTCAGCAAAATAGCCTCAAATGTAGCTCACAAACACAACAACCCATAGGAGAAAGCTTGCAAAGTGTAAGACCTTGTATACTTTGCTAACACCATAGCTTTAAAATGTTGCAAGGCAAGAACTAGAGACTCCAGCTATACCCTGCCAGCTTGAAACATTATAGTCTTAATATGGTAGTGAGACATTAAAGCTTGTCATAAGCCATATTTATTTTGCTTTTAGTGATTTGTCTTTCCGTCCCCACCTCAGCAGACCTGCCAGGTACATTCAAAGCACTAGAACAATTTGAAGAAAGCATTTTTCAAATTGCTATTTCTTTAGTATTGTATTCTCCCACAAAGGTCTGCAACACTATCCATCCTGTGCAGTTCAGATTTTTAAACATTTATTGCAGATTTAAAGCTACTTTTCCAGCTGACAGGAATAATATATATGAGAAATTTACCCATTTAGTGGATGAGCAAGTCAAGCTAAATATTTTATTCAAGTATCTTCCACCAGTCAGGCAGAGTAACTGACTGATTTGTGGAAAACTGCATAGCTCTTATGAGTCAAAGTAGAAAAAAGTTTTGAAAGCAGTTGCTTTGGTAAGCACAATTTAAGAAAAGTATTTGAAATTTTTACATAAAAACTCATTCTCTCAGGTAAAACCAAAATAAACTGGTAACTAACCAGTTAACATACTTCAAGATCTATAAAGCTAAACCAAAATAAACAGCAATTTTGCTTTAAAAATCACCCTCTTCAAATCTCTCCCACCTACTGGCTTACCAGCTTACATCACGCTTTCCATAAATTCTACTTTGCATCAAAAAATGTCAAGTTTAACTTAAAATCAGTTCAGATCCTGATTTAAGAGGTTTCTGGTTTACCAAATGGACAGAAGCAACCAAAATCATTTTGTATGTTAAATTTTGCTATGGTCAAGAGTTTCTCAGCTACATGTAACAGATAAAGTAACTTTTGCTCAGGATTAAGATATTTATACCAAGCTTATCTTTTTTGTTCTTTCATTTCCGTGCATTACTGGGTTGAAAAACAACTTTTAAACATATCTAAATATTCTTGTGAGCTTCATTATAAACTTTTCTGCTTGAAATACACTGCTGATCCCATACATGCGGCTGCTTACCCCACAATACTGCTATTGAAACCATTACCCGACTTAGAAAGCTGGGCAATTTCAAGTCCTGGATTTGTTACAGTAAGTTAACCTAAACAAAAATATTACTGAATGCTTTCCTACATTGCATTTAGAAAACTGAGACATAATTTACCAGCAGCTTTAGCAAAAGCACAGCTGCAAGATTTGAGGCACATCAGGGAGCCTCCAATACACATAAGGCCTAAATTAAATTAAGTTTCCTCATGAGCAAGCATGAGTTAGGAATAATTTGAATGAAATCAGGTACAAGGTTTTAAGCAACTCTGAAGAATAGTCAGTTTACCTATCCCAAGGAACAGATGTCTCAAATGATTCTCCTATTACATAGTAATCCAGGCCCAGGTCCTAATAAATACAGAAAGGAAATTATCAGTAACATTCAGCACCAACATCTGGGATTCCAGTGTAGGCTACACAGCTAGCAGTTGAGCAACTTGAGATAGAATTGAATGAGAACAACACAGAAAGACGATTTAGCAAAAACAGCCATCTGTCCTAGTGACATTAGTTTACAGTTATGGATGTAGAGCAGATCTTCCAAGACACAGACAACAAACATTTTGATGTCATGGCTATAAGAAGACAGCTTGCCATAGTGTACTTGCAAGTACACTTGCACTAATCAAATATTTGCACCACTAGCATCAATCCAAGGGCTGCACTGTTCTAACCAGCAACATAACTAAATTTCAAATAAATATTTTCTATTAAGTTCTAGGTATGAAGAAAAAAGACAAGAAATAGTCTGCCCATTTTACCTATAGCCTGCTGAAATAAAAAGAAATTAAGTGATTTGTCCCAAACTATACAAGCCAAGTAAAAAGTAGCACTCAGGATATATATAGCATTCTGAAAAAAATCTCTTAAATCCACTAAGACTGAAGTTCATAAAAACAGCTGCAGCAGCTCAGACTAAGATCCATTTGTCCTGGAATTCTGATTCAAACCATGGCCATAAGTGGATGTCCAAAGAGAAAAAACTGAGAGTATGTGCATATTTTGAGTATTCTCCCAGGCTCAGATTACTTTCAACCTGTAGATTTTTAAGTCTGATCTGGTTTATTTAGCAGCTGCCAGTAGATCCTCCTTCAAACTCATTTTTTTTCTAACCTGTATTGGTAACTATTTTCTTAAGTGTTCAAATTAATGTTTTTAAGGTATTTTGCCAACAAAATTCTATGACATGGAAAAGATACAATCCTCTGGTGACAAATTTAAGAGATCATTCAAGGCAACCTAACTACAGAATTCAGAGAGGATCTTCAAAAAGACATGATTGGGTGTGTTTTTGTTTGTTTTGTGTTTGTTGTTTTTTTTTTTTTTTAATTAATTAATATAAGTTTCAGCAGGAAGGCAAGAGGTGACCTACCCGAATGTAAGCGATGACAAATGTCAGCATATATCCTCTCTGTCCATTATCTTCTCCAGCTGCCAAGCCACTGCAATTAAAGAATTTAATTAAACTTTCCAGCAGAGTATACACAGGTTTCCAAAAATAATTAGAAAAACCTATACTTTGATTATAAAAAATATGTGCAAGTTTAGCTGTTTCTAAGTTGTGTTACAATAGCCAATAGTCATAGCATCTCTGTAAATAAAACCATGTTTTCCACACTTTGAGATGTTCATAAAGAAGAAAGTTGGGCAGAACAAGAAACAAATCAGTGAAAAAAGTCAATTCTCATAGGAATAACTTCGTAGTTTAGTCATTCATTAGGCAACATCCTCCAGACTGTTTCTTTCTACCAGCTCAGCTAAGATGTCAAAACTAAGCTGAGGTCTTCAAACATCACAAAAAAAAAAAAAGGAAACAGAATTAGACATAGTACATCCCAGATGTTCCTGTAAATGAACATTTGTTCAAACTGTTTCTAAGTGCATGTTGAATTTGTGCACCTGTGTTCTTACAGGTCATAATAGCAAGACTACTGGCTTAAGATCCCAAAAGTTTCTGTGATGGGTGGATGAAAAGGATTGAGCCCTAAAAAGAAAAAGGAAGCCCTATTTTCACTAACCTACCAAATTAAAAGCATTATGAAAGTCTTTTTCGTTTGCTTTTAAGTACTGGCTTTTTAGAACAAGAAAGGGCAGTCTATCTAAACTGTCTTCCTAGAAGTTCCTATAAATCTGACGTGTAGGGACAACCAGACAACTTTAAGGAAGACAAAACATATGCCTTTTAGACACAAAACTGGAAAGTTAAACCATTAAACAACTAATAGCCTGAAATAGTGTAGCACAGACACCACCCTCTAACAAGCCTTTAACAGCCAAATTTCCATCCCTTACCAGTACTTTGTCTTGAATTACCCAAATACAAGAGAACTTGTAGTTGAAGCCTCTTCTTGCACACATTGAAATTGAAGTGCCCTTTAAGATGAAGGGCAATGTTTTGTCACTGAAAGGTGACAAAACAGGCTCACATTTCATGTGAGCAAGCAAGCTGCTCACATGAAATCCCATTTTTTTTTAAAGTGGAAAATTCAAAGCACAAATTTCAGAAGTTATAGCCTTGAAATGGATTTGACATATTTTTGAGTAGCTGAGACTAATACAAGCAATAACTTTCTTAAAAAGAAAATAGTGCATTTTTGATATATCACCTTTAATGACAGTTTTCGTCACTGTTGTAATCAAAGCAGATAAGCAGAAACTCAGCCTACTGCTACAGCGAAGTATTTTCTGTTCCTTTGTAAGAACAGAAAACAGCCTGTAGGACACAGAAAATCAGCACATTCCTGTAACTACATGAATGCCTCTTTTAAACAAGCTTTGTGTATTCATTTGCTCACATCAGCCATGCAAAGACTTAAGTCCTAATACCCTTATGATTTTGTCTTTCCATCCTCCATTTAAAAATGTATAATCTAGTTGTGCAAAGCATATAGCCTCCAGGCCCGTAAGCAATTACAAGGGGTAGTTTCCATTCTAGTTACATCAATTCTGTACTTAGTCAAATACTCATTTTGATGTAGTATATAGACAGCTGAAGTTTTTCTTTAAAGCTACCTATTAAGAATTAACCCAAGACTTATTTATCAAAGTGAACACTCAGTACCTCATCAATTATTCCCACTTCAAACTAGTAAATTGAGAACAGATCTACACAGTAATTGCAACAAAAATGGTAACCTTGTTTTCTCCTGGACAGTTAACTCTCAGTTTCATATAAAAAAAAATATCTTTGAAAAGCATACCCAAACTTGGTGGCAATGTCATAGACTTGTTTTTCATGCTGAAGAACCTTCTCTCTGTCACCCTCGAAGAGCAAGGTAGCTACACACAGTATGTTGGGATCAAATCCTTTAAACTGCAAAGAAAAAATCATTGCATTATGTCATAGCTTATGTGGTAGAATGCAATCAACAAGTTTTTGCTTTTCAAATACACAGTGTACCCTCTGGTTAGTAGGTGTAACTAAGAGGAAAGATTAGGGAAAAACATCTTTCAAAAAATCACCCTAAAAGCAAGTAAGTTTTTTCTTTACAGGACAAATATTTACAAGCCCACTGAAGTAATCGATCACATTTTTTTCCTCCTGTCAAAAAAAAAAAAAAAAAAAAAAGGCAAGATAGACAACAGCTGTCTATCTACTCCTGAAGAAAGAACAGCTCATAAATGATTTCAGCAATAAGGAGACATTTATATTCTATCAACTATTCCTTTATTAAAGCATGCGGATGACCATGACAACAATGTCACTGCTCTCAAAACAGTTGTATTAGCAGTGTACCACAGAAAATCTCTAAGCTTGGGCAAGTGCTACGGAGTGAAAATAGCTTTTAAACTCACGGCAGGGAGCATAGCCCAGTGGAAATTAGAAAACAAAAGTTGTAACAGTAATGTAGTCAGGATGCCTGTTTAGCTTTCTTTCAGTAAAAAGTTGAAAAAGCAAGAGCCAAATCTGGAGGTGACACTAGTTAAAAGCATCCAAGTTAGAATTTCTAAAAATGATCCTACCACCCCAGGAAAACACCATGAACATGAATATGAAACTACACATCTTCCTAGGCAAAGAATCTGTCTCATTCATTAGTCCTACAAAGCCAGCATAGCTAACATAATTAGAAAGAAATACTGCTACTACAGTGATAAACTCAAATCCCCGGAACAGAAGTCTATTCAAATGCCATTCACTGTCCCTTCTCATTCTAGAACTATTTGTATTTCATCTAGAGTGAATCCTTCCTTCTGTTCTACTGTCTTGACTTTAATGCTCAGGAAGCACCTTACAGTTCTCTCGAAGAGGCACCAGAGGAACTAGCTACAGCATGATCTAGTAAACACAAACAATACCTAAAGCATTTGTTTATCAGTGAGGAGTTGCCAGCAATACGAAGGAATAAACTGGAAAGACTCTGTCCCTATTCTTGTACGTGGTATCTGTTAAACAACTCTTCCATTCAATAAAAAGAATAGTGTTAGTTTAATGCGTTCTGTATTCTGATGTTTACTTTTCTTTAAGCTTAACTTAAAGTACTAGAGCCAAGGTAATCAATGGTATATTCAAGCAAGAAACCAAGACACATGACAGAATCTTCATGTGGCAAGAGATCTCAGAGGTTGCCACTATCCATGAATCACAACGTGAATTAGGAGGAGCAATTCATAGATGAAGTGTATACGTGAAAATTTGAGTACCTTGGTCCCAGTACACCTGCCATATCAATCTCACAGTCACTAAAAATGCTTTCTCTATTCCCAGCTGGGAGTATCACTGTGCTGTATAGTACTATATAATACTGTTCCCAACTGGGAGAATCTCTGAAGTGCAAGCTGCTTACACACATCAGGAGACTGAGCCCTAGCATAAGAGCTCCAGATGTGTCACCAGCTTGGAGCCTCTGTCAGTATTACATAACATTTCTCTCATTTCTTGAAATGTTCTTTTCTATTTGCAGAGCTGGAAGGACTGGAATTGCAGTGGACTGCAAGCTGGGTAAACTGGTTCCAGTCTCACTCTGTCACTGCCTTACTGTTAAGGCAAGACACACTAACCTCATCTACAGATGTGAAAGGTGAAAACATCTGTGAGAATCTCTCTCATGGAGTAACTCCTCAAACAGAATATTATTTTGGATTAAACCACCCTGAGATTCTCTAACTAATCCTACAATCTGTTAGACAAACTCAGAGCTGCATGAGACAAAATACCCACAGTCTTGAATTCTAAGGATAGCATACAAAGTTCCAAGCAGTATTAAACCCTAAAACAGTTACCTTTGTGATGTAGAATTTTTTCAGTCCATCCAAAAATGATGTAAAAATGGAAGCAACTTGTGGTTTAAGAGCATGACCTTTGGCAAGAAGTAGAAAAAAATGTGTTAAGATTATCAGTGCTCTTAAAATCCTAACTTCAAGGAACCAAAAAAATAGCTTGACACATAAAATTGCAAGAATTATTTGGAGCACTATCATAATCAAAGGGACCTTTCTCTTTAGAAGATTTGGGAAAAGGTTTTTTTATTAATTTTTGAGAGGCATACATACAACTGCACACAAATATTCCATTTGACACTTTAATTAAGGCTGTCGTAGTTTAGATCTTCACAAGTATATTGCACATGGAAAATTTTGAAAGAACACTTCATTAGTTTTATACTATAAAACTAAGCAAAACCACTGACCTTTTTAAAGTTATGCCAAAACCACTGAAACCAATAGCCAAAAAATGGTGCAAGTTAAAGAGTTAAGCAGTTTTTTCCTTAATGGTTATGTCACTTGCACAAAATTTTCTACATAAAGCTAGTAATTGCTTCCTTAATCACATACGGAGAACTAAAATTACCAGGATATATAAATGGTGTCTTGGAGTCTGTTAAATTAACATCTCTGCCTCAGGACTGGATTTAATTGAGATGAAAGCCTTTTACTGTTTGTTCCATTGTTTTCAGTCACAAGCAACTTCTGAACTCCCATTACTGCTTCATTTTTACAGTCTTGCATCTGGCCTACACGCTGTGAGCCCAATTCATAAAAAAAGTTATGCACCATTTACACGATACTTCCTTCTAAAATACTTCACGAAGTATTTCCTCCTGAATAAAGCATGAACTTCAGTAATTCATTTGCCTCCTTCCCTCTTCCGTAAAGAGGTACTCTCCTTGCAGATATGAGAAAACGCCAAGGAATAGGCCTCCAAGTACACTTAAGTGAGGATACAAAAGCAGCAGATAACACAAGGGTATTAATTTATTAAACTACAATCTGTAAAAACTAGTGGAGTTAAGCCTACTTAAGAAAACCACAAGAAAAACTCCTCTTTTTCACCTTTTGCAGATGATTGTATAAGCTGCAACATCAGATCAAAGACAAAGAAAAGATCTACTTATCTGGAGTTGGACTGAAAGCTTATAATTGGTCAAGCATTCTCCCAAATAAAAATAAAGAACTGCATCTGCCTTCTGTTGTACACGTTTGTGAAAGAGTACAACACAGTGATGACCAAAGCAAGATGCAATGCTTGCTGGGCTCTCAGGTGCTACAGATACTAACTTAGTTCAAAAAACAAAGCTCAGCTTTCTCATCTCCAGATTAATGCCATTTAAAGTCAAGATTCATTACTGAGGCTTTTCTTCAAACCAGGTATCAGAGTCTGACTTGTTCTCGTAGTATTAACATATAGGTTTTCAAGGTCAATCACAATTCATTTTTTCATCTTCTGCGAATAATCAAAATCGCATGGTCTTAGCAAGTGCTTCAAGTCCTATGAAGTACTAGTTGTGTGTTGTGGAACTTTAGGTTCTCTTGAAGAGTGCCCTGAGCCAGAACACATCTCTTGCCAAAGTTTCTACTCTTAAAATGACAGCTTTCCATAAGAAGGGTTCAAAAATGATTGATTTTCATATCTGACGTTGTCCTATTTATGTAATGTCTAGGTTTAGTAATACTCCAGTAGCTTTACTGACTTTCTATACTTTCTATATTTAAAAAGTAAAAAAAGCCAACAGCTTAATTCTGTTTGCATACAGTTATGGTATTTACCACATCTGAACTTTTTTAAAAACAAAAGCCAGACAGCTCATTTTTGACGTGTCATTGCCTCGCCCCCACCCAAAACAATCACTACCACATTAGAATATTTTCAAAATAAACTGCTGCTTCTCAGGAATCTGTACACAGACTGTGATGCTCTTAGGAAATTTACATCAACCAATTTACCTTCAAAGTAAGATGCCTGCATTCTGAATCTCCCCTGCGCTCTGATACCTGACTACTTGTTAATATTCTTCACAAATGTTTCAAGAAGTATATTTACAAAACTATCATTTCCACGCCTTCAATAGCAAAAGAGAAGCAGTGCCTCCAGTTTTTCAAAATTCCCAGAAGACTACATGCTGTTAAATGGAAAGGTTGCAAAAAATCTTACACATCTATATACAGAGCAAAGCTCTTTACTGACTATTGTAGTTGACAGCGTTTTTCCAGAGGCAAAGACAGATTTCTGTTTCTGAAAGTACATATTACAGTACTACCTGGAATTTGAACGTAGGGATCGTTGCCTTTGTTGTCTGGTTTTGAGCAAAAGAATTCCCAGATGATACAAATTTCAAATACTAAGATAATCAAAGCTCTTGGGAACAGGTATCCATCTGAGAAAATCTACCTACTTACCAAACTGGAACTGTGCATTGTCAACAAGGCGAATTGATGCAGGAGCACATCTCTTGGAGGCAGAGTTAGGGGAGTGAGAGGAAGGAAGAATAAAAGATTTATGAACAGGTATGCCAAAAATCATGACAGTGACATTTTCATTTAAAAAGAGCATAGAAGAAGCAAACTTAACATCAGAGACCTATGGCCATTATCATCATTGAAAATTGGTGATGATAAACTTGTTTTCATTTGAGAAGCAACATCTATTAGGCATGTCTAAACATAACGCATAGGGAATTTTCAGTTTACACTCAAGGCAACACAGGCATAGTCCCATGATCTTTAACCTTCAAGTACTGAATGTTTTTCTATAAAGTAGCCATATTGCCATAATGCACTAAAGATACCATATTTGATAAGAGTATTGAGTTTAAAAATCCATTGAAAAGAGACTAACTGTTGTGCCTTAGCCCCAGTAGGCAGGTAAGCACTACACAGCTGCTCACTCACTTTCCTCCAGTGGGGTGGAGGAAGAGAACCAGAAAGGCAGAAGTGAGAAAACTTACAGGTTGAGATAAAGGCAGATGAACAGGTAAAAGGGAAAAAAATAAAAATGAAAACAAGTAATGCAAAAGCAATTGCTCACCACCAACCAACCGATGCCCAGCTAGTTCCCAAGCAATGGTAACTCCTGAGAAAATTCCCTCAGCTTTATTGCTGAACTTGACATCATTTGGTATGGAATCTCTCTTTGGTTGATTTGGACCAACCATACCAGTTGCATTACGTACAAACTTTTTGCCCACCCCCTAACTACTAGGGGAACAGAGTAGTAAATGTAGAAAGCCTTGTCACTGCATAAACACTGTTCAGCAACAGCTAAAACCTTAGCATGTATCAACACTGTTTTGGTCACAAATCCAAACGGAGCATCATATGGGCTGCTATGACAAAAATAACCACCCAGACCTGGTACACTAACATTCTGTCATCAGGTCACAATTAAAATCCATGCCTGGGTCCAATCTAGGCTATGCACTACATAGAAGTCTGAAAAACAGTTAGTATAGCTGTCTTCTGCTAAGTACGCTTCTAGGTCATACATATGCTTATAACATGCCATCTGTGATGGCTGTGTCCAGTCATGTAGTGAAATATATAGCTAGAGGAATACAACAAAGCATGGGTTTTAGGCTAGCCTCAACCTAATCACAAAGATATAGAAGTATTCTTCTATCACTTAAAATGATGCATGTTCACCCTCATCATCACTGATGATGTACATTTTGTCACACAACAGGAAAAGGGCAGAAGGAAAAAATAAAATAATATCTCACCAGGCAGGTTGACATAAAAAGGCTGAATGAGTGGTTTTAATGACACCAACCCAATCTACAACCTACAGGTAGCTTTTTCTTACATAAAAGTAGAGTAATAAATAAAAAAAATAGCTTTTCTGTTAGAGATCTTTGTAATTGCTAAAAAGATTGATGTAAGCAGCACCAAAAGAAAAGAATAAGTAGTTCAGGCTTTAGAAAACAGTGAAACAGAAGTAGCAACAGAAGCTTAGAAATGGAACAATGTAAGTGGCTAATATTGTGGGGTTTTTTCCTCTTCTAAACCCATAGCTAGGGAATAGACACTAGTTCCCTAATTGACTTAAAATGTTGATCAGCCATTCAATTAAGCATTCCCAAACAGTCTGCTTAGATACCTTTAATAGGAAGAACAAGCACTAGCAGTAGAAGCATGTGACAGAAGAACTGGCAAGTGCTGCTGACTAGCATATACATGTCATTCACATACCGGTTTGAACATCTGGCTTGGAACATTAAGTCATTAATTTAGACCCATCACTGGAAAAATGTAAAGCTGTATTTAGTTTGGCATTAATTAAAACATTTCTGAAATTACTTCCCCAATTCAGGATATATAGTCCTCCTTTCACAGAAGTGATTTGGTATGTTTTGCACAGTGCCAAGGAAAGTTAGCCTAGGATGATAAAGAAAGAAGCTAGCCAGTGTAAGATTTGCTTGGAAGCAGAGCCATCAGGAAAAACATTACAATTTGAATACCCGTGTCCAAGTTCTGTTACTTGAAATCCACTTCCCTGTTGTCTGATCATGTTACTCAGAAGGCTCTACTTAAATACTAAGACATAAGTACAATTCCACCTTAAAACATCCAGCTCACCCAAATACATTTCTGTGCTTCAGGTAGTGCTTTCTACCCCCTGCAAACACAGGTCACATCCTTCCACTGCATGACTTTTGTTCCTTTTCACTTTAGAACCATGAATTCAACTGTCCTTTACTTGTATGCTGCAGCTGAATTCCTCTAAATACTGGTCACTTTCTACATAGCCTTAAATGACTCTCAGGATAAAACTCTCCTTTGAAGGAGATAAAGAGCCAAAATCTCTGTGCTGAGATATGCTAACAACTCCCACTTTTTTAAAAGAAGTCATCAGAAGGCGTATCCACAATTTGGCTAAGAATGCCAAGCAAATGATGGTCACGATCAATCATCCATCACATCATTTCCAAAAGCCTCATTGGCCATATACATTTATGAGGTTCATATCCTCTTAACTCCTTTCCAGTAATTGATAATTAAGACTAGAGCATCAGCATACTCCTAGCCCTAGATCCTGGACTAGGTTAGAACCAGCATTCTTGCATGAATTCAGCATAAAGCTTCACCTTACCTGCTTTGCCACTTCCCTCAAGCAGGCCACCCCTCGTTCAAAGTTGGGGAAGACTACAGAGCCATACTTCTGGTATTCAGGGAGTGGGCGAATCTTTATTGTAACTTCAGTGACCACTCCCAACGTTCCTTCAGAAAAAAAGGAAAACTCAGTAGTAAAGTCCTGCAAGATGGAATTCTTGCAAATCACACAACTCAACTAGTGTTTACCATAGTGTTATAAAGTACCGTTAAGTCAGAAAAATTCAAAATTTCAGTATTCAAAAAATATTCAAGAAGTATTGAAAAATTCAAAATTTAAAAATTCAGTACTGCAGTAGTAAGCAATTTATTCCTGACAATTTACATGTACATGGTGAATTCTTACAAACCCCCTCTAACTCATGATGTGTACAGTAGATGTGTACAGTAACTCCACAGATCTGTTTTAAGTACTTTTCAGAGTTGCATAACTTCAGTCCTAAAAAAAGTCTCAATGTATCATCCTAACACAAAAATTCATGCCTGCAGAATGCCACCCATAGACACACCAGAAGCAACAGCATTACATATATTAAAACCATCAAGCCATTACAGAAAATGAATTCAGATGCACTTATGTGAAGTTACTGAGCTTATACCTTCAGATCCCATAATGAAGTGATGGATATCAGGTCCTGTTGACATGCGAGGTACTTGACAGTTTTTTTCAACTATTCCTCTGGGAGTTACCATTTTTATATGAATCACCTGTTTAAACAATATACAATAACTATACATACTAGCATTAAGTACAGTATTTTCTGTATAATATTTATTTTCTATCAAGCATGACATGCATTTTATACAGTTCAGCTCTGCAGACTTCATACTTTCCGCAGGCAGCCCCAAAAGAACTTTCGGAATAACCTCAGGACTGTTACAAACAATTATCTCTAATGCAGCATGGTTTGCCCACACAACAGATTGCTCCAAGTTCTATGCCAAATCCAATCAATTGTTGGCCACAAGCAGACAGTACCAGTTAAGGCTGTTTTGTTTCTCAGTGTAGACAGTGCTCACCATGAATACTAGCGTTTAAATTCAGAACACGCACAATACTTCACAGAGGAAAAAAGAGATGGCTTGCAGCAGAAGAAATGTTATTTCTTGCTTAAGTTTTGCTTTAGAACTGTTGGTTGATAAAGCTAATTTAATTTAGTCATCAGCTGATACAGAAATACTTCTACTAGGAAGAAATAAAACAGTGAAATACTCTGTCAATATTAAGTCTTCAGTAAGACTGATACATATTTAAGATTTTGTTTTTATTCTGTACTAATTTATTTCAAAAAAAATCCTTCCTTGGTGCAGGTGAAGCTTTCAACTACAGTAAAATTACTGCATTTCAAACAGTGGCTCTAAAAATTTCAGGCACACGTACCTAAGTAATTTTCATCCTGTTCTGTTCAAGAATTTTGTTATATGCATTTTATGAACTGGTAATTCTGTAACAAGTGGATTTTAGGCAGCTTATATAACACACTATTTCTAGATGTAAGATTTTCTCAGAAAGTAAACACCTCCCTAAAACTTCTCACTGTGACATCAGGAAACTCCTGAACGTTTCTGAATCAACTTTCAAACCTATTTCCTCCTAATGAAAATTTCAGAAGCTACATTTTAGTCTGAAGTTATGCTCTTGTGATAGAAAAGCCTTCTGCTTCACATCTCCCAGTCCAAGAAAAACAACACCAGACAGCAACACTTCAGGCAGTAGGGTACAGATGATACTTTACAAGTGCTAGCAGTTTTAGTTCAACAAGACCTACTGAATAAAAACTACTTATTTGCTGCCAAGCTCATTCGCTGATAGTCAAGTGTTTGTTCTGTGCACAGAACAGACGTGTTTGTGAACTACAAGATGATGAAAAAGCCTGAGGTGATAAAGATACAACTCAAAAAAGTGTGCTGCAGGAAAGGGAAGGGAGAAAGAGGTAAGAAAGGGCTGTTATGAGAAGAGCTAGAAGTTCAAAGCAAGGAGGCAGGATTTGACTTCGATATACTCACTAAAAAGTATGTTTTTAATTCAAAATGCTTTAGGAAATAATTTACCTGGGTTAATATGAAGATGAACCATTTTAATGCTTAAAACAGATTTAAGAGTAGAATACTGCCATTCCCAGTCCCTTGCTTCCTTCCTCATTGCCCCCATATACTGTGCAGTGGGATTACAATTCACTGTTGTGTGCACACAGGATCAATTAGATCAGTGTGCTGGTTTGAAGAAAAACAATCTACAAGCCTATGGAAGTGGGAAGGCAGATCGAACTAGCTTGCTGTCAACATGTAGTGATCCCACCAGACAACTTCAAGAAAGCAGAACAGGTAGGAGAGAGCATGCACCTTTTGAAACAACCCTACAAATTTAGCAGAATTATTACACTGGATTAATAGAGAGCATCAAAAAAGTGGAAGAAGGCCACAAGGACAGGATAAGACAACACAATTCCTGAAGCTAGTCAGTGAGTACCAAAATGAAAACCGTATCACTTGTTAACAGACTTGCAGTTTATTCTTCCTTCTCCCTCTCACTTCATGTCATTACATAAATTAAACCACCAATCAAAAGAATAATTAATTAGAACAAGTATTAAAAATATTTACCAGATCTTCAATGTTTCCATAGATGTTTTTTTTCATGCCTGATGCTCGTGTTGCTACCCATCCTCCTAGTGAACTGAACTCCATGGAGTCTGGTTCATGGCCTGTACAGAAGCCACTTTCACCAAGCTAAAGAAAGTAAAAATACGTTCTCAGAGCTTGCATTAGCTTAATATTGAATATTTTAGGTTTATTTTATTTAAAAAAGCAAATATCCTGATAACACACACAATTATTCTGGCACAAATTTTGCATTTCATTTATATATCAAAGACAAATTGATTCTGCTTCTCCTGTGTATATGTTGTGCTATATATCAACCTATAATACTCCTCCCCCATATTTTAAAACTAAGACCTCTATTGTTTGTAAGAAGGTGAGAATTCAGATACATACAGAAAAAAATTATAACTAAGTAACTGCCAACTTTGCACAAATGCTGCCAATAAATAAGGCACTTAATCTCTTGTTCTTTCCATTCTAATGTGATATGCAGCAGGTCTGCAGAAAATGTGAGCAAATTGCCTGTACTTAATTCTCTCAAGGAGTGATGTGTTTTAATATACAGCCATCTGGTTGGGCTTCCTGTATGCAATGCTGTCAACTATTTGTGAGGCAGATCATGCATTCCTGTACATTAAGTAGTCACTTGTTTCTCATTTTTCTGTATTAGCTTGGCTTTGCCATCTGCACAGCACCTGAGGTTGATTGGATGCCCTTCGAATTGCAATACCAAAGCTGTTGGACAGAAAGAATTAAAGACCCAGCACTTTCACGTTAAGTGATAACTGTGTTAGTGTTTGAGATGATCAATTTGCAGTGGGCAACTGAAATACCCACATCCAACTAGATACCACATAATGTGGGTTATTAACTATGTTCTGTAGCACAATGTGATTCTAACTTTAGTGACTGTTTATGTCTATGTAATGGCTACGTGACTCATCTAGCTCATGCTCCTTTCTCTTACTGGAAGAGCTTGTGACTTTAAGTGCTTCCTGATGACATTAGGGAAGTGCTGAAGCCTTGTCATACCCGCAGAGGACAAGAAATTTTCTTCAGTCACAGCTTACAGATTTCTACAAGTTGTACAAACATAAGCACAGCAAGAGACCATGTTTTTGAATACTTGTAACTGACTGGGCATGCACAAAGCAGTAGATCCAAACACTGTGAATAGCGTTGTATAAAATAGGACATGCTACAGACAGAATAGAGCAGAGATTGTGTTATATACTTTTCAGATGGAAGAGACAGCCAGCATGGCCTGCTTATCCACAATTTGTATATACTAGCCTTTCCTATAGAATCACAATAGGATTCATACTACTCCTTAACAAAATAAATAAAAAGAATATATTGTTCTATCTTTATTATCCTTTTGTCACCTTTGATTCTTTCCTGTTGGCTATTAATCCACGTCCTATTATTCTGAGAAAAGCAAGCAATTCAAGGCTCCTCAATAGAGTCCACTACAATATCTGGAATTAATGAATCTATCTTCTCATCTCACATAAAATGGTGTCTTAATCACATGACTATCACATGTAATTTTAGCTAGTGTAATGATCGTTTATTTTGAATGCCCCATTCAAAAACAGCCTAATTTTTCATCAGGTTCTGTTATTTGTTTAGAATCCAGCTCTTGATTTTAGTTAGTGTTGTAAGGTTCAAAATAACTGTTAGTGAGGAAGCCTACTAAGGAAGATCAGCACCCAAAAAAAAGGTGTGGTGGCTTTTAACCTGTGTGATTTTCACAGCACAGTTTCTAGACAATGCCGGTAAATTCAGTTATGAAAACTGAAGTTGGATTATTTTTTTTCCTTGTATGCTCACCAAAATTTCATGTCAGTACTATCTCCTAGAAGACAAGGAGGAACAGAACTAATATGCTTTACTCCTGCTGCTAATACAGTCCAACCTTAAAGTAAAATTCATTTTACTCTTGCATTTACTGTTACTCCAGCAGGGACTCATGAGAATTACACATTCCACCTACCTGCCACCAGAACACAATTTCTTCCCTCCAAGCCTTGCCTGTTTCATATACCTGTACTTACCACATGTTCATAGTATTGACCTTTGAGGTTTTTTTGTTTGTTTGTTTTTTGTTGTCGTTTTGTGTTTTTTTTTTACCCTACTCATCTCTATCTTGCTTATGCTGCCCTCATGTGAAAATCCCTCTGTACTCTAGTTAACACTAGCAAGATGCAAAACGGTCTTTCAAGCAGTTCCCTTTGCTGCACTATCCAAATGCATACCTGCATTCTGTCTATATTTCAGTGGAAGTCTGCACTGGCATAATCACAGTACTCAAATTGTACTACACAAAACAAGCACAACGTGTCACGCCTGGCAACCACAAGAGTGTATCCAAGGTCTGAAGTAGAAAGCATAGTGACAATTCATAGGATGTAACAACTTAGTGTACATGTATTTTACAGCTATATCTAAAAGAAAAATTGTTATTTAAAAATGTGTATCAAACAGCATCCGATGTGGCCCTTAACTATGCACATAATGTTCATAACCATGTATGTAATGCAGCAATTTAGACAAGATATGAGGAACAACAAAGAATGTTATGGAGAAATACTAAATGCTTGACAAGTTAAAAAAATACCTGTTTTTCCAAATCTTGTCCAACAATGCCAGCTTCCACACACGCTGTTAAGTTTTTCTCATCTATCCAGAGAATCCGATTCTGTTGGAAAGCCAATCAAAAGTAAGAATATATTAACATGACAACATAGAAATGAAAATAATAGTATGCATACTATGTACTATGTCTGTCTTCCTGAATAAAGCTAATATCACTCATTTTCAACAAGAATTACTATCTGAAGGACCACAAGAGCCACATGTTTACATTTATATATACTTAGTGTATATATATATATATATATACACACACACTAAGTGTAGATACTTAGTATATATATACGTTGTGCTACTAAGTATATATATACACTAAGTGTAGATATTACACATTCACACAGTGACTTGGTAGGAAAACTGCTGGCGGTTTGGTTATTCAACTTCAGTATCTTTCAGAAGCCTTAATTATTATACAGAACTTAAGCCTTGACTTGTTGACAAAAAAATACATCAAGCTTCATTAGCCAAAACAACACTGTCCAACCTTCTTCAGATTTCTGGATACAGTTCTTCTACAGTCATTTATGCAGTTTCCATTTATTACAGCTAAAAATCACTATTTCTTAATGCTTATAGTATTTATGCTCTGAACTACATGCTGCGTGTTGCATTAGAACTGTCTACTACAGCAGAAGACTGATGATTCACCTTTTACTCAAAGACAGATTTTGTTTTTATATGTATGCCCAAATTGACGTCAGATGAGAAGTTTATTATTGAAATCAACAAATTTCATGACAATGAAAAGATATAGGGAGCTCCTGCAAGTGCTCCAAATCACTTCTACGGCACTTGTATAATTTTGCATTATTATATTGCATAGAAGGAGAACAGCTCTAGCTTCAGTTTGCCTTGCTTCCTGAAGTGGCAAATTTTGTAGTCCAGCTTAAACTATGAACAATTAACTTTAAAACAATTATTTCCCCTCAATAGCCAGCTGTTTTTACTCAGAAAACACTTTCGGTTTCAACATGGACTACTTAACTGATCTGAGATGCTATATAAATGAGTTTTTATGCAACACAGACCCTACATGTAATACAAAGATAACCATTAACTGCGTATTAAAACAGTAAAACTTGTCTGATCAACTTAATTGCCCTGGGAGTGCTTTCCACCCTAGTTTCTTTATTTTCACTCCACATCAATGACCACAAAAATTGCTTGGCAGCATTATTCAAGAAGCATTCAAAAAAGCAGTCTGTTTCCTGACCTGATATATATAATTACATGTCTAGCCAACACAAAAGGATGATAGCAGGAGTTTAGTGCATTCCTTTCCCACCCCCAAACCAGACATTAGTCAAAGCTGTGGGCGATGAGTCAGTAAGTTCAAACAAAGGCCTGAACCAATATTGTACTCTGGATTTCACCCCATAGGCGCATGAAGAGTTTCCTTCAATGCACAACTGCCTTGTAGAAGAAAAGTCACTTTGTAGCCAGAAACACTCAGAAGCTACTAACTTAACCCAACCATCATGGAATAAGCAGAGAAAAGGGAGGCAAAACCCAGGTACTACCTTCAAGGATAAAGGAGTTAATAAGCATTGCAGGTGCTAGGAAACAGTACAGAATTACATTAAAAGATACAGAGCTGCTTCTGAAGCATCTCATTACTATGTAACCACGAAATAACCACAAAATGGTCATTTTATAACTACAAAGGTTCTTTATAAAGGAAAGCTGAGTACTAAGACTAAATTTTACAAAACTTAATTTCTGGAATGCCATAAAACTTCACGTTCTCGCGATGCTATCTACACAAAACCCACATTTTTATTTTATTTCTTAAAAAAGTTTATACTGCAGGTTGACTTATAGATATTACACCATCTTATCAGCCTTCACTGTTGAAGTATATCTTTAGGTCTGTAAAAAACAGTATAATTTTCAAGAACAAACAGCTTCCTCCTAGACTTTCACTTAATTCAGACAATTCCAATATAGAAGAATAGCACCTTCTTCTGATTTTGATTTAAAGAAAGCTGCCGGAAGAAGCTTCAACAGCAGGATGTTTTTTTTTCTTACTCTAAGTACACGGGTCATATAAAGTACAGGGCTAGCTTAAACAAAGTATCACTGTAACTGAAGGAGCACTAATTTAATCATACATGGTACAAGTTAATACTTCCATCTCATATTTGTTCTTCAACAAAGAAAGAAATTTCAACTATTTTTTTCCCCCTAGAAAAGAGACATACCATTTGTGATGTATCCAGTGAGATAATTGTTCTTTTTTCTTCTTCAGGGCATTCAAGGGCACTAGAGACACTTGTTCCCCCTGAAAATATGCAAGGGATATTGCAATTGAAAAATTCACAGGTAACCTTTTCCCCACATACCCATCCTTCTCTCCCTCATTTGTAACATTGAGCTTAATAAAATACGATCACTGAAATTACCCGTTTGAAGCTAATGATTAATATTCTAAAGCTATCCTGGTCAATTGAGAGTTTCACAAAATCAAGGCAACACTGTAGCAAACAGAAGGCTTTAACAGCACTTGATAACAAGCCATGAAATTGTGACCATCTCATCTGCTGCTCTAAAGCCTGGAGCAGAATTTACAAGCAGGGAGGGATAAGAAATGAAACCACCCAAGAAAGAGATAGCCATTTCTATGTATTCTTCTGAGAGCACTACAAAGGGCACTACAGCCCACTTTCTAGGTGGAAGTGAAGAGGTCTACTTAATTTAGGAATGCAAGACTTACCTGAAAGCAAGAAACAAACTGGAAGAGTGTAACTATAAATATGGATGAATAAAAACAAATACCAAACTTTTCTGGCGGTTTCTAGTGCATCTTCATTGCATGTTGCAGAACAGCGTCCAAGAAGCCTTTGGCTTCTCAAAGACTCCAAAAGCCATAAGAAAAAAGAGACTACAGAGAAGAACAAGCAGTGGCAAGTACAGAGATGATGCCAGCTAATAAAACACCAGTACTCTTCAGGTGCAGCATCTTTGTTTCCAGTAATAGGAAAGACGATATTTTAATACCAACCCCTACAATAGCTTCAGAAGTTGACCGTAGTTAAATATACCAGATTGGACAAAACCTGAAGATCTTCCTGTATCCCGGTCAGTGAACATGAGCTAGTCAATGTTGCTGCTCTCACCTATACTCATTTACTGGTACCAAAGATGATTTGTAGCAGTCATACAGCTCTCCAAGTGTATCTGGCAAGCGTTTTAGGGAGAAACAAGCATCATATCAAACTAATGGAGCTGAAATGACATGTTTATATTCTCAAATAGTAAACATCCTTCCTAAATGGGCCTGCAGCACAAGCACAAAGGCACGGACTTATCACACAGAATTCTTAACAAAACACTTCTTACAGAAATAAGCTTGTGAGAGCCAACATCCCATGTTACCTGCTGTCCAAATCAAAAACAGGTAACTCACACTACCTCTGCAGGTTTAGAGGAAAAACCATGCACAATTAATAAAGTGAACTTCCTCAGAAATTATTTAGACTGAGAAGGACCCAGATTATACAGGTTTTTGCTTATGTTCTACAAAACCCGGAACGTTTCCTGAAAACTCTTTACAAGAGAAACATCTACTCTAACTTCCAAGTTGGTCAGTGTCTAAAAGGAAATTAGAATTATGGTTCACAATTTTGCAAAATCGCATCTGACAACTATCCTCCATGGACTTATGAGATTCAACAATACACTGCACTCTGATGAACAAACTAATTTACAGTTGTGGGAACAGAGCACAAGAAATGTATCCAAAAAATACCTTCAACATAAAAGACTTCCAAGCACAGAGGTAGATTTTAACCTCTTATAATCTCTCCTCTTGCACCCCTAATATTCATGATTTTTACACTTCTACTAACTTTTGCTAAACTAAATAGATCAGCTTTTAATACTGCAAGATAAGAAAATTGACAGCACTCAATGTACTAATAGATCTAACTTTTGAACTATAGATACAATATATTAAAAAAAACACAGATTTAATTGAACTGCAGTAGAATACTTTTGCACTGGTGATGTTAAACAGATCTGAGATTTAATAATACTTACCACCAAATGGTATTATGCAGAGATTATGTTTACATGCTAATTCCACAATTTTAACAACGTCTTCATGGCAAACTAAAAACAAATAACAAACAGTTAAAAAGAGGATTTGTGCTTCTTACTGTTGCTTAAAAATCAGAGTCTAGATACTTAGCAGCTCCTTTTCTGACACCAGAAAGGAAAACATTTCAAAGATTTAGACACTAAAGGGCTGGACCGAAAATTAGCAAAGCTCTACAGTAAATGTAGAATTGTTTCACATCTAAACTATAAAGAAATTACTATAGACTTGGTCACTGCTCACAGACTGAGACCTTCTGGCAATTCTCATGGTAAGACAGGCTACCACACAGTTAACAATTGAGGTATCTTGGAGAACAAGTTAAGTTCAAAGCTTTATTGAAAATAGGTTGTCCAATCTCTTTTAAGTGAAATTAATCTTTTTTGAGAGCTGAACAAATATTTTTTTTCCTGGCTGACGTTCCATTTCAAAAGTAGACCTACTGGTCAAATTTACTTTTTCAGCATGTATTGTACATCAGGTCAAGGGTGGAAGCAGACACACATGTGCACAGGGAAGGAGAAGGACCATCAAATAAAGATCAGCTGCTACATGCACCTGAATTTTTGCAAACAGCAGAGAATAAGCAGACCTGACTACATAGGCTTACAAACTCTGGCCATACAGATCAGCTATAAACCAATATAGTCATTTTACTTCATTTGCTTTCAGAGCTGCACAAAATAAAGTGGAGTGGTAATGAACACTGTTCATAGTCACCAATGCTGTCATATCAGTAACTGTCCTCAAATATTCAGAAGCATCTTACAGCGTCTCTTTTTATCCTTCCCATGCAATTTTGTTTTCCTAAATAAAGTGATCTTGGGGTTTCTAATACAGTGCAGCTATTGAAATTTCAGAAAGTAATAAAAGGAAAAAAAAAAAAAGTTGGATTCATACAGCTTAGGTACTTAGACCTGATGCCTTTTTCATTAGCTACTGAAGAACAGCACATGGAAAGTAGGTCCCAGTGACCTGAGAAATATGACTTGCAAATAGAAAATTCACACAAGTGAGCACAAAGTTTTACCAGTTTAAATATTTGTCTTCTACTAGATAAAATCAAGCATTATTTTCTGCTACATGTTCTTACCTACAACAGCATTAGTGATTATTCTATTTAAAATGGGTCTAGCCAGTACTCAGATTGCACTGCCATTTCTTCGAGTCAATGCTCCTTTGTAAAGTGTTCTGATTGGAGTTACAGGTGTCATACTTTTTAAACTACTTCTGAAGAACTGCATGTCATAAGACCAAATTCTTTACTACAAACATTTCACTACCTTCATATCATCACGTTCTCCTTTAAAAACAAGATTTAGGCTGTCATTTAGACAACTATTCTTGCTGCACATACAAGTTCTCAATATGCTGAGGTTACTCAAGTCAAAAATTCAGCCTTCATCTGAAACTTCAACTATATTTAATAACGAATTCAACTTCCTCATGAAGTGAATCCTTTAGGCTCTCTAAAGACGAGTGAAGTCAATGAACAAAAGATAGCTTCCCCATGACAAGAAAGCACAAGAATTCATAAACAGTTGAGAAGCAAGAAGAAAAAAATAGTTAAGCTTACCAGGCCATACAACTATATCAGGAATTCGCTTAAACATTCCTTCCCTGAGAACAAATATCTCATGGAGGCAGTGACCTGAAATACAAACAATAAGTTAACAAGTTGAAACAGGAAGCATCTAAAGTACACTTATATAAATGAAGTTCTCTTACCATGAGCTCTGAATACCCTATCTTCTGCATCCTGTGAGTATGAGATATTAGTGGCTCTAAGATCCTGAAGAAATTCTTCATTTACAATGGATGGAGGTACATCATTAACATTTAAGGATGCCTATGATACAAGAAAACATGTTCATTAAGGGTAGGCTCCCTATTACCACATTTCTGTACAAAATAAAAAAATTAAAACAGTTTGCCACTAACTGATACCAAAATGTAGCTATTTAAGATTAGAAATACAGAAGTTCTTTTCCTCGTCTTCAGCCATTGATCCCATTTGTCCTGCTTGGTATTCAGCTGACTAGATGCACACAAAGTTTTATTCCAGTAGTGCATTCTTACCCTTTTTCTTCCTAACAGATTTGGGGAAATGAACTAGCATATGAGGGCATTTTAGACAAAATACTTTGTTTTACAGAATTCAAGAAAAACAACTGCCTGAATAGGACTAAAGACTCTCCTGTTGAGAAAGGATAAGGTCAAAATTCCTTTTTGAACATAAATTCCTCCTACAATACAGAGAAATACATACGAAGGCCACCATATACTATTCAGATTCCAGCACTTCCAGTTCTGTTTCTACCAACCTACTTCCCCTCCTTTTGTCACATACCAGAAATTTAAGTGTGATTGATCTAATATAACAGGAATGCTTTAAGCAGACCTCACACATCAGCAAGACTTCATAAAATACTAGTGCAATCATTAACATGCAGGTGTTTTCAGAAAACCTCTAGATAGAGGTCCTGATCAGCTCCTTGGAAAAAAAAAGTTTTTCAGCCTTTCACATATAAAAATATATATTATTATTATATATAAATATATCCACACATCCAAGTTTCCTTTCCTGGAATAGGGAGTTTCACTCCTCTTTGTTCTGCATATAGCCTCCAGAAGTGCTCACACTTTTTGCCAACATGTAACTGGTGGTTTGCTAAAATAAAAGCTTAGAAGATAGCACCAGCTACCAAGCTAACAGTGAGAGGGGAAAAAAAAAGATTATAGTCTCACATCTGCCACTATGGCAGTCTGTTCTGAACGGGATGGGCCAGAGAGCAGTGAGATCTGAAGAAAAGACGATTTAACCTTCACAAGGAGAATTTTCAAGTAATGAGATGAATAGGTTGCCTACCAGGGTCCACCTCAGAAGAAAGTACATAAGGTTACACAGAAATTAAGAGTACTTATAGGGATCACTTAGGAAAGAATATTTGCATTAGTTAGGTTCATGTCTCATGAGGCTCATGAAGCCTCAGGGGCACAAAATGATAGCCAAGTCTTTGTTTTAACATTCTTCATACGGGGCACATGACCTAATGAAAATACAGTTTTAATAATGATTTACTTCTGGGAAAAGGGAGATATGCTGTTTTGAGCAGCTTTTTAAGGGTGATACTATACTTGAATTAAGGTGTCAGACATCTGAGGAAAGGGCTTTATCTGAGAAAAAGGCTTCTCCCTCCAACATATTCACGCTGTCACCTACAAATATAGAAGCTAGTGATTGTGCTGTTCAGGTGAGAGGCATGCTGCTCTTAAGAGATCATGATTTTAGGGGCCAGTCAGAATAAACAGAGGGGAAGTCAGGTCTTGGATTGCTGCTCTTAGCTCCTGCTAGTCTGCTATTAATGCAGATTCACACAGCACTGCTTGCTAACCCAAGGAGCAGAACTCTTAACAAACTTGGAAAACATGAGAAACAAAGCAATATGAAATGAACAAAGACCTTTAAACCGCTTTGGTAAAGAAAATCCCTGCTAGCTCTGCTTACGTTCTCTAGTTTAAACTTGTTTCTTCATGGATTTTTGTAGACAGAACCATTTTGTTTCATTTCAAGTTGAACATCAAATGCTGGAATATCTCGGTTTTCAACAGGAGGAAGATGAACTACTTAAAGCTATTGCATTTCCCCATGGATAACTAGGTACCTTGATTTTTCTTTTTTTTTGCAAGCATTCTAGTCCTCTAATTTTTCACCTTCAAGACTGAAAATTTAATATTCATATAAATCCTATGCAGAATGCCAGGCAAAAATAATTTTATTTATTCTTATGGGACTGAGATATTTTAAAGATTTATACACTTAACGGCTTGACAGGAAACCTACATGAACCAGGTCTAAACTGCTGTATGTAATAAGTCTAGACTGAAAAGGAAAAAATGTCATCTGGCCTTGAGCATCAGAAAAGCAACTACATTTACTACTGTTAATTACAACAGAAAGATTGCATGCAACAGGGAACCCTGCAGTCCTACTGCACAGAGGCAGGAAGAGTTGAGACAGAAGGACATATGGGCCAAGAGCTCCTTTATGCTCTGATGACAATACAGTTCTGAGAACCAATACAGTATGACAACCTGAAATATAAACCAGGAGCTATCAGAAAGACATGAAAATGGGACCTGCAGTAGTACCTGAGCATAGCTATGAGAAGTTAGATATGAGAAGTCCAGATACACACTGCTGGCAGATATCCTGTGAACTAGCTCTTCAGGATGTGTTGTAGAATCAAGATAATATTCAAGAATCTGCCCTAGTCCCCCAGTTCTGCTTATTCTGTACCTTCTATACATGTAGGAAGGGAACAACTGCGCTCAGGACCACTGGTCACAGTGAATTAAAGCAATTTTGCTCTGAGCACCTGCCAGTCAAGACCAACCTCAGTCAAGGAAAACAAACCCATCAAGACAAAGATTTCTGAAATATATTGTCACATGGGAAGACTTCAAGTCATAGCAGATGAAAGAATGGCTTGACTAGCAGAAGACTGAAGTGCTCAAGTTTTCAGGCCCAATGAGATGACCTGCTTCAGGGAAAACAAAATCTTGAACTCAAGTTACTCAAGTAATGGCTAAAAAACTGTTACCGAAGCAGTGTCACTGCAGTCACTGTGCAGTCATCATACAAGCATACAGCACAGCCTGCTTCCCGTGCTGCTTAGGCAGTTACTGAGTCAGAATCCTGCAGCCTCAAAGGAATTCTTCCTAAAATGACCTCACTCCAAGTTGAGTTATTCTTTTTGAAAAGCATAATATGTATACTTCAGAAAACCCAGAATATTCAGTTTTGGTTTTTTTAAACATTCAGTTCAATCTTAGGTATTCTGGTAGTCAGTCTTCAGCATCCAGGTGTGGAAAAATACTACTGTCAAATAAGAACGTGGATAACATCAAATACACTAAAAACACCGTGCAATTGAATGTTACTGTATCTTCCACCTTTGTCATCACAAAGGGTGATTACAGTTGCATAAACAATAATTCCATCTAGGCTAACAGTTTCTACAATCTTAAAAAGCAGCCTACAAACAAGAACTAAAACCTCTCTGTGTAGGAGACATTTAGTCCAATTAAAGTACTACCAGTTGATGTAGAATGACAAGTCAAGCTAAATCACTGAAAGTTTCATGTAATATTTCTACACCAAACAGCAACTCTGAAGTGTTACAATACACTATTTAAATCAATTATATAGGAGGCAATCTTCAGGACGAACAGCTGAATCATCTTTAACAATCTGTTTTTGACAATCACCACGACTAACGTTCAAAGGAACTGGTTCAGCTATTTACTTACTCTAGAGGTAGTTTTGTGCTCCAGACTTGCTCCAAAGGTTTTTTCTATCCATTCCTTAAAAGTAGGTAATACCATACCACCTAATCTGTACCTGAAAAGTCAATATTACACAGGGTCATTTTCAATTAAAAGAATGTATGTCAGATACACTTCTTTTGATTCTACATAAGCACAAATACTAAGTTAGATGAAAAAATGGATTTAAAGAAGTCTGCAAAGCTTCTGTTCATTTAGTTTTCATGCAACTGCGTATTTTTATTTACGTCCTATACTTCACACAAAAATCAAAGAAAATGTCAACAACTTAGAAATTGTGTTCCTTTGTGATATTTGGGAATTGTAGCATGTGGCTTTTCAGACATTCCACCCCGCCCATCTTCATTTTTAAGAAAGATCTCCCAGTAATGTAGAAAGTGTCATAGTTTACAAGTCAGTTACAGACAGAGGGCATGTATGTACAGACACATTGCAATGTAAACCAAAGCAACCTCAGACACACAAACCCAGCTCAATATACCTTAGAATGGTTTCAAGAAAAACAGTCAAAGGTTTCTCTCTCATCCTCAAAATGCATCAAAACCCATCAAGTGCCACGAATGTGTCTGTCACAACCCCTTGGCAAGAGCTTAGCCATGTGACAGATGAAGAGTTAGTTACAAGACAAGGGACAGAGGAGCTGTTTATACTCATGCATATCAAATGAAAGAACAAGTGAGGCTGGTCCCATACTCAAACCCTAGTGAGGTAGCAACTTAATTGCATACATCTGCACACCTTGTACATGTTTATGATATATGCACAAGCACTCTCTGAAAAAAGGAAAACAAAGCCCCTCCTTTTGTATGAAGAGTTTTCAGCAGTTGACTATCCTATAGTATATAACGTCACTGCATTAGGCCCCATGGATCTTTCCTCCAGGATTATTTAATTACCATGACTATCCAGTTATGACCTTGTCCTTCTCAGCTACAATTAAGTCACCAATTGTGCAAAGAGAACAATTCCTTTTATTTCCTCATCTTAACTACCTTCCAGCTCACCTCATTGGGATAAACAAACAAACAAAAAAGTATCACTAGAGATGAAAGGCTACAACTATATCTTAATTCAGCTGGACTCTTCAGCTTGGAAGACTATTTTCTGTGATCCCTCCTGTGACTGCTGTTATGTATCATCATATCCATACAGAACAGGTAAGTGAATTCTGTAGACAGGAAAGCACAACAAGCAACAAATGTATACAACAAAAGTTTAACGTAAATTGTGAGTCTGCAGTGGTACAGAGCACCTTGTCTCAGCTTGGCATTTCTTCTCTAGACATAGTTTTTGGTGTTGCCTACCTATTGCTACAGCTAGCTTACAAAGGTAATCTTACCTTTAATTTGTCCTTGAATAAGTTCAAACAGAAATCTAACAACTAACTCAAGACAGACAAAAGTCCCAGGAGAGAGAGAGTTAGTGAATTTACTGCACAAAACACAATTACAATTAGTTACTCAGGGGTAAGCTTTGTACATATGTTGATTGTGCAAGAAGTCCCTGAAAACACTAAACAAAAAAAACACCTTACTTTCCTCCCTGGAAAAACGGGTTTGTTTGCTCAGACAAGCATCTTCTACCTCTGCTGAGATAGTAGAGCCAGTAATAAAGATCATTTGACAGGTAGATAAGCATGGTCTATTGGGACAGTCAGCACAACTTCCATAAAGAGAATTCCTGTTTCACTAACCCCTCGAGCTCTACGACCGTGTGAAAAGAAAGTGAATAATGGGGATGCAGTGAACACACTCCTCTGGATTTCCACAGGGGTTCTACCTCAATTGCTACTAAAGAAAATACATTGCTACAGTACTGAAGGAAAGGTTCTTCTTCAGGCTGAAAGGTCAGGGCTTATTGAGCCCTGAGTCCAAGAGAGACTCAGGAGTGCAACTGGCCACACACTGGTCACACACTGGTCCAGTTTACCTAATTCCTGCATCAGTGATCTGGAACAAACAGTGGACTCTCCAAACAGGTGAATGATACTAAGGTCTTTCAGGCAGACATAGCACACTGATAGTATTTTTAAGGTTCCAAGCTCCTTCCTAACTGAGCAGACAAATGAAGAATGATGAGCTGTGATGTAACCACAAGAACAAACAAATAAACAAATAAAGTGTTACATGCATATTTTGCTGAACTAGACTAGTAGTCAGTACAGGAAAAAAAAAATCAAGGCATCTTCATTTATGCATCATCAAGGCAGGTATGAGAAACAAGACAGATTATTTTTTTACACTGATCTGCAGAACCCTGGTGCATCCCCATCTTGAGTGTTGTGCACATTTTTGGCTCTGCATTTCCAAAAATATGTCAAAGAGCTGGAGAGGTTTCAGAGAACAGCCGCTGTAAAGACCAAGGGGCCTTACAAGCACAGACTAGAAAGGGCCCAGGACTCCTCACAGCATGGAAGGAAAGTAGAGGAGGGGATACAACTGAGTCTTGTGCAAACAGCAAGAGTAGATGCTAAAAGGCATCTCCAACGTAATCTTCACAGATGCTACTGGATTAAAATCGCAAATGATCAACAGAAGCCAGGCTCCCATTCTTTCTTTAAACAGCCCCACCTTTCTTTCATCACTGAGAGGAACTACTCCATGAAAACTACACTGGTGGGGGCCAGCAAGGCCTTTCTAATACTTTCTCATACAGTTAGAGAAAATGCAGGTGAGGGGAAAAAACACCATTCTCCCCTACACCTAGCCCTACACCTTTACCTCTTTCAAATTACCCTGCATAAATCCTTCCTGTGCAGCGTAACCTACCCCAGATAAACTAAAGATATCAGATGAAAGCATGACTGACAGAGTAACAAGGGCTAGAATCCTGGCAAAAGCAGAGATCGCCACGATCTCCCTGAATAGCATACAGTGAACTCATGCCTTAGTTAAGGCTTTGCATTTTAACCTGGGCCTGAAAATTAAGAGATTCAGCATTAGTATTCAACACCAGAGATAGATTTTTGCAGCAATTCAAACTAGCTAATGCTAGTTTACAGAAACTCAAAGAACAAGGAGGAACTTTTCTGAAGGACAGTACCCTAGCAAACTTATTGATCTTCCTTATCATTATCATCATTATTTTTACTCTTACTGAAAGCATATTTATTATTTTTTTAAACTAAAAAGACTGCAAGACTCCTTTCCTTTCAGGCAAAAGGGAACAATAAGATACCAGGTGACAGACTTAAAATACACTGGAATAAAGTAAAGAGATCTTGAAGTAGAATTAATGCTGTATTTACTGAAATGGATATTTCTCAGAAAAACAAACCTGCTCTATAAAGGGATGGCAGGCAATAGATCAAAAATGTATGCTGCCACCACAAAACACACAGCTGTAGAGGAATTTTTGTTTTTAAAACTAGGAGGATAGAGTAGCTCCATGCACAAAGTTTAAAAAAACTAAAACAAATCAAAAGTTAAAGAAAAGTAACTTGCTGACTTTCATGAGATTCTCAAAACTGGCACAACTCCACAGAACTGCTGCATGTTTTCCTAAATCTTTAGGTGGTGGTGCAGATTCTTGGTCTGATTCCACTCCTCCAGGGGAAGTTTCACTGCTGTGTGTAAAATTCAGTAAACCTGTTAAGTGCAGAACTAATGACCTATTCTATGAGATAGAGGAAGCTTTCTGTTGCTTTCAGCTTAACTGAACAGTGCAGTTTTTAACCTCTTTTCAAAAAAAAAATAATTTACTACATTAAATATTTTACTCCAGTGATATAAGTTTCCAGCTTACCTTTTCCCTGTAAATTCTGCTTGACCCTTCTTATTGAATATGAATTTTGAGTCATTATATCCCCATCCATTCCACTTCAGAAGTTCTTGCCTTAAAGGAGAAAAAATATTTATATAAATAAGAGTGTTAGCATACTGACAATGATCAGTGATGACTATTTCAAAAAACAAACAAACAAAAAAACCCCTGCAACTCAAAGAAACCTCTGCCTCAAGGCAGTTAATTCCAGCTTTACATGCAAGGTAACTCGGTGCTGATCAATTACCAAGGGCATTCATTACAGAGATAACACTAACGTGCTGCTGACATACTACAGGTGCTGTAATTAGACTTGCCTTAATCAAAGCCCATTTTCTTCAAACTGCCTGTACACATGACCTTTAAGGAATCAAATGGAAGAAAACACGGACACTTAGTACAGCTGTTTGAAACCGACATTTCAACAAGCCTTTGACAAGCTTAGCACTTCTTAAGCAAGCTTTACAGGGAACTTCAAGTACTTGGTAACTGATACGTTTTTGTCAAACAGCCAGTGCACGTTGCTCCTACACGCTGAGGAATTGACTAAAATTGCAGCCAAATTAAACTGTTTGATGAAACAGTGTCTAGGACTGCAGTCTTTGTCAAGGCAAGATTTCTCCCTCTGGTGACTGAATGGAGTATTTCTATACACCCGATCTCTTTGGTTTATCAAATTACGTAAAATCAGAATAGACTTGATATTAATAAACCAAATTTGAGAAAGGCTTAAGCAACTTCCCCCTATTTTTGAAGGGTGGCTCCTTCAAGGCAGTGCTGCTAAGCTGCTAAGTGTGATACATGGAACAGGGCAGAGAAAGCAGCAACAAAGCTAAAGATGATCAGACAGATCAAGACACAAAGGACCAGGCTCTAAAGGAACTGCCGACATATGAAGCAAGTAAGTGCAGCTTTGAAACTACCACCAGTCCTCATGTCTGTAGGGACAGACACCTCTCCCCAAATTCAGGGGAGGCACTATTAGGGCCCTGAGCAGAGATCCACATAGGAGCTCTTTCTGCTAAGCTGACTTTGTTCCCTGTTCCTTGCCCTTCCTGCAGCCCTGCTTTCCTAGGTTGGTGTTAAAGCACCTGGTGCTTTCATCAGGTTTTAAAATACCAAACGGAGGTTAAGAAGTCAAATTTTATAAGTTTTCAGGATCAACTATTCCTGAATGAAAAAAGCATATAATGGTTTTCTCTGAAAGACAACACAACTCGTTAGTGGTGTGTTGAGAGTAATTACATAAAACTAAGACAACAGTTAACATGTTTGCAGAACAGCAGGTTCTGAAACATCTCAGCTACCTCCTACCACAAGGTCGGGCATTCTCCCCGGCATAATGGACAGCTTTGTACCACCTGACAGGTAAATACAATAGGAAGTTCATTGCAAACATCTAATTTTTACATTCAGTGCTATACCAAGCAATTCCGAGGTTTCCGTTTGGAGGCAGCAAGGGCTGTTTTGTACTGAGTCATCTGACATTTATTTCCTCCTTTGATCCATCACACCAGGGAGCACTGCCAATCTGGGAACCGCTATCTGATTTACGTACAGTGGTTCCTAGCACCTCACGCCTACGCTGCACGGAGTTAGAGGAAATACTGCATGTGGCTTCCTAAAGAAAAAGCCTACAAAACCAGAATATAAAAGGAAAGTGTCTGATTACTCAGCTCCAATTTATAAATGACAGGGCCTCTGGTAAGCAACATGGCCTCTCTCTAAAACAAGAATAATGACAAGTGTTAAACTCCGTGCTGCTAAGCTTTATATCGTGCCCAAGCTGTCTCATTTAAAGATGACAGCTTTCCTGTTCAGGTACACTGACTTCAACAAAAAGTCAAGCTCATTAACCCTACTTTTGTCTTTGACATATATGGACTATTTTAGCCAGAAGTGTTAGAAAGTGACCGGTTCTTCCTTGTCATCTAACTTTGAAATGCTAATTTCAGTACAGAAATGGATGAAGTGCTCAACACGTCAAAAGCAAGCTTTGGTTTACATTTCTGGTATTGTGTATACACACATATACACACACATAATATATGTGTAAAATAAGTAATGATATTGCCTGAAAGGAAAAAACCTGAAAGAAAAAAGTTACCATGGAAACAGTGACAACAGGAGCAAGTGTTGCGGAAACAGCGTGCTTAGGTTAACTGAATTTAAACATTTCACTTTCATTACAATGGGCAGCATTGAAATACTAGTTTGACTCGATGTAATAAGAATTTATATATATTTACATTTTAACAGCAAAGTCTTTTCAACAAATAAAATATCTCTTCGCTTTTCTGAAGAACTGCCTATTGAATAGCCACAGAGACGCGAGGCAGGAAGCTGTGCAGACCACAGCACACACAATAAATAAAATAAAGGCGTTGAAAAATCGCACAGAAGCCCACGAGGTGGCAGCCTTCCCCCAGCCGGGGCAGGCTGAGTCCTCCAGACCCAAGCATTTGAACTAAAACATCTGCCAGCCCTCTCCAAATCTCATGTTTTAGTGACAGGCAGTATGACTGCTTGAAAATGTTTTCCTTTCCCTAGAAAGCTGAAGCAGCAGCACAGGGCCTCCAGCAGGTACAGAAGCTGAGCGTCCAAAAGTTTAATTCCCATGGAAATTACAACATTGATGAGATTTTTCAGTAGTTCCAAATTCATGTCATAACTATACACCAAATAACTACACACACAATACAGAGAACTGACAGTCGAGGAGTTTTTACTTTTAAAAGAAAAAATATCACCAACAGTTATTATAGCCTTTTATCTTCCAGGGTGGGTTTAAAACACATTGATAACATCAGAAGCAGGCATTTTTTCCACTTATGGTGAAGTTACAAAATTATGTTCAGTGAAATACTGGAACCAAGTTAAAGTAATCATTGAATTTTACTTCAGTAGCAGCAGGTGATTTAACGAAGAATGCCAATGCTGAACTCCTTGCCTTATACAGATACACTGTCCAAGCACACAAACCTCAACAGAACTCCCTCGGCCTTCTACCAAAGAACTTGAAGATCTAGTGCTTTCTGTTTCAAACTGAAACAGACTACTTTGCTAAATGGACAATGATCATTTCTCTTACTTTCTTCAGTGCAGCCACCCTACAGCAGTATGGAAGACGGTGCCGTCCAACCCATCAATGCGACTCAGGGGGAGCAGAGCCAAAACGCCCACAGTGATTTCCCCACAATACCCACCAGGGTTTTCAATTCAATCATTAGGTGACGCCTTGCCTTTAAGCACCACACACACCACTCCTGTTGTGCTGCCCAAGAGCCAGCAGATCTTGGGAACGGGACTGAAGCAGCAGCCGGAAGGGCTCGCACGGGCTGCTTGCCTCACGTCGCCACACGAACGCACACGTCCTCCTGGCTGTGGTGCTCTTGCGAGGCCGGGAGCAGGTGTGTGGTGTTACAGTGCTGTGTAAGGAGTTGCAAGGCAGGACATTACCCAAACAGCAACTCAAGGCTCACCTCAGCTGGACTTTTGGCTACCAACTCGGAACACCTACAGGAGAGGGTTCTGAACCTCCTGAGGTGACCGCATAAGGTTGCCCTCCCTCTGCTGTGGGGCACGGGCCTGTGTGGGTCACACAGGCACACCTCTCAACCACTACGCCGGCAAACCGCTCCAGAGAGCTTCTGGAGACAGCAGTAAATTAGGATTAGGTGTCTGGAAATTATGAAAGGGAACGTGGCCCAAGGAACCACTTCAAGAACTGCTTTGTGAAAGCATTATTTATCCAGAGAAGAATGACAGGCTGCAGGCAGGGAATATCTGCTGTGCTCGTCATACTTCTGCCCTCTCACCGAGCCTTCCCCTGCAGCAAACCAGAAGTAACCGCTCTCAAGTCAAATAAAATGCCTGTTTTTATAAATTGAGAAACACTGAGGTTCTGCAGCCTGCCCTCCAGATAAACCCCTGCACTTGCACATACACCTAATACAGCTGCTATTCTGTTTGCTAAATACCTGGCACAGCAACATGAATCTGGGTTCACATTTACAGTAGTTTACATCTACCATAAGCTGAAACTGTAGACAAAATTTTAGGCATAAAAGACTTGAAGGAACCAGGTACTCCAGAGTAGTGTTGTGTGTTTTTTTTTATTTGTTTAAAACTGTTCTGACCAAAAAAAAGGAGATACTAGCCTCAACTACTTCATTACTCCACATTTCACCATGTTTTAATTAGCAAAGCCCCAAGGAACAAGGAAATTGGTGTTTCTCCACTGTTCTCTTGTAGAAAGCTTATGTCATTTAGTGAATTAAGTGAATTAAAGATTAAACACTATAATCAGTATGAAGAAAGTCAAGATATTATGTCTATACTACTCAGTACACACTTAGCCAAATGATGATTCTTATGCAAGGGACTACCTTAAAGGAGCTATTTCTATTCCATATACATGTCAATTCAGTCAATACCAGTTTCATTTTTATCTTTCAAGGGACTGCTCTACTGCAAAAAGACGTGCACATGGCTACTTCCAGGCAGTAAAGGAATAAGCACTTAAACACTTTTCAAACAAATGAACAGTATGCTGTTTATTTTTTCAAGTAAAACAAGCTCAGATCCTGGACAAGACTGTTTTACCCATCACATAGAGGATTTTTAGCATGCTCTATACCAAATGCATCAGATAACCACTAAAGAATACTTTTTAGCCTATACAATCAACCCAGAAGGCTTGCATACAAGAACAACTTTTGGATGTAACAAGGCGATGGAGACATCCATCAAGCTTGTCCATCACATTGAACTGACAACTGATTTTTAATATTTCACATTATTTATTCTCTACTAAGATGTATAGCAACATTACAGTAAATTCCTGTTGACTGCAACTCTTACACACACGGCAGATGTCTTTAGTTTACTCCGGGTCAAAGTAGTTTCTAGGAAGTCAAAGTAATTATTGTTGTCTATTGTGTGAGCAAAGATTGTTCTATTCAACTTACGCAAATCTTAGGTTTAACTACATAGCTATGTACATTCAATTTCTTGTACAGGAGTTCAGACCTCAGTAGATATCAAGAAATTGATCTACAAAATTCTGCTTT